CCAGGGAGAGGGCTTAAAATCAAAAATTTTGGGAGTTTAGCGCTTCAAACGCACGAAATTCAATCCCAAAACGACAGCAAAACGTGGAGAATTTTCGAAATTTGAAGAATGCAAATCCAAGCACGAGGCTGAATTTCAGCGGAAGGGCTTAAAGTCCAAAAGTTTTGGGATCTTAGCGCTTGACTTCAAACGCACGAGATCCAATCCGCAAACGATGGCAAAACGTGGAAAATTTTCGAAATTTGACAACGCATATCGCTTACATCTTTGCCTTGTTTATTTTCTTACTTTGGGGAGGAGGAGGATCCTAGTGGGAGGGATGTTATCGGACGCTCCAAGCTAGTATTAACAGAAATATAAGTACTGACGCTGAAATATAGTTCTTGCCAACGTTGAGTATGAGTTTATACCCATTTTCATAAGGCTTGACGGATGACCTAACTCTAAGTCTAACAGGAACGAAGGCAAGTCTCTTTTTTTCTTCTTGTTGAAGTTGACCCTCTTCCTGATCCCATTCGATGCAACAAGAACATGCATTTTTTCTTAGACATCAATTTCATACGATTTCAAACTCGACATCAAGCGTTCTCAAAGGTTGAATTCTGGGTCCTTCTGGGTTATGCATAATCTGGATGCCATCTCACCGTCTCGGTGTGGTCCTTCCTGTTCATATTATTTCTTGTTGTTTTAGGAGCATGAGTACATTATAAGTTGATTGTGACTGACATAATGTAATAGTCTATTCTCATCCTGATCTTCCTTTCGTAATGGTATTAAACGTAAATCCGTATAAATCTCTCTTGTCATTCGTTCACATAATATCTTTGTCGTGTTAGTAGATATTCGTTTCATAAAGTTGTGTCGCGATTCTTAAATTAATCGTACTCCTCTGGTGCATTTTTTTTTGATTTATGGTACAACGATGAACAATGGAGGAGGATCATAGTAGCAAGTGCAAGTAGTTCTGATTTTCGAATTCATTTTCATTATTTGTCAACGACGTGATGTGCGTGCATATTGATCATAATATTAGCGAAATTTCATTGAGAATAGGCAAAACGAATTGCGCCCCTTTGACTGTACAACAAACTGTAGCTACTTAGTTAGTCTTAGTTATTATAGGAAGTCAAGAAACTGTAGTAGAAACAAAACTTTAATCAGGTTTCGATTGTTCACAAAACAATGCTTCGTTCTTGATAGTTCAAAGTTGTAACAGTGTTTTTTCATCTCAATAACAATATGTGTTCTTTCAGTAGTTGTAATAGTTGTGTAGGTGGATCACCATTTATTTGTAGTAAGGTTTCTATAATGTCCTTTTCCTTCCTACTGTCGTCATTTTGATAAACTAAGAAAATAATATGACTTGTTTTCGATTAGATTTCGAGTTTTGAATTCAGTTTTTGCCTCACATATGATAAAAGTTGTAATACCACAAAATATATATAACAAGTAAGCATTTAGATCGATTTCACCGTCATCATGCGGTCAGAGTCAGACAATATCACTCCTGACCGCATGTTGACGAGAAGATTAGTTTTGAGATACAACTTGGACTCCTCACAATTTTCCATAATGATGAACAAATAACATGCAGTCTTCTTGCTCCTCCCTTTAGAAGAAGACTGTGTTGAGTCCTAGCGTATTTTTCACAAAAATTAGCAACTATCTGTGATAGTCGTGGCACCAGAGGCATTGACCGCCTTTCCCGCTGCCGCTGGGGCCTGCGGAGAATACGACAGATGAATAAAAGATGCTTTGTCCTAGAACAAGGAGAACTCCAGTTCTAGTTGTAGTTCGATGCTTTCTAACACTTAAGTACACTAAACGACTTAACCACGATGCTCTGAATCATAGCATTAAGATTTCTCTTTCTCTATTGGTTGCACTATTAAAACTGTAATCTTTCATGTCCTAGTAGTAGTAGTAGTGGATGAAATTATGAATAGATTTAGATCAGGATCAACAATGTAACAAACTACAAACACTTCAGTAATTTGAAAATGAAGAGATGGAGCAGACACATCACCTTCACCGTAGCTCGTTTATTTCTCGCGGCAGCTTTCCTCTAAAAATCACACGTTAAAAGCTCTTGCTATTGTTCAATAACAATAGATTAGTCATATCTCGTCCGTGACCACATCCACAAGTAAAACACAAACAACCATGCCGACCTCCACCTATACTTCTCTGCATACACAAATACCGAATATAAATATCTAAGCGGCTTCACCAACTCCACCAACCCCACCAAGTCGCAAAAATGACTCTACTTATCAGCACCGTCCTCCGCACTAAAAAAGTAGAAATCAATCTTACATCAGCCACCTTCCTCGTAATATAGCTGTACTCCCCTCCCCCTCGTCCCAAACACAAAGAACAGAAACTCAATCTCGTCACTAAAAGTTCGAGTTCGTCATCGTCCATGATTTTTATGTGACAAGTCCCGCGTTCAGCTTCGCCTGATGGGCTGGCCACAAGTCGACTAACTTGAGCAAGAGCCACTGCGTGTTGTCCGCCTTCTGGATCCATTGGTTGCTTAACTTCGACATCTGCCTCAACAGCGAAATGTACGTTCTCATGTGGCTGCTGGCATCTGGGAGGCGGTCTTGGACAGCGGTTTCGACCGCCAAGTTGTGGTAGCACACAACCAACAAACTGGACACGCCAGAATTGGTCAGCTTGTTCAGTGCTTGTTGCAGGAAGTACTCGGCCTCGTGGTGATGGTTCTGGAGGAAGAGCACAGAGCCATAGCGGATGCAGCACTTGGCGAAACGGTTGGTGTGCTTCAACTTCAGGTAACGCTGAGAAGCCTGCTGGAAGAAGGACTCAGCTTTGCTGGCTAATTGCACGTCAGAAGGCGAGTAAAAGGCGACGGAAAGTGCGGTGTCGTACAGGTAAGCCTCTAATACAGCACGATGTGCGGGATGGAGGTCGCGCAGAGCAGTTTGCATCGCTTCGAGAGTTTGCAGGCAGAGTCTTGCTGCAGCAGCGGAATCCGCGTTCTTTAGGCACAAACCGATGTAACCGACTAAGAGTTGAAAGATATTAGAGCAGCTCAAAGCATTTCTATTTCACTTCCTGCGATCCAGTTGTTCTTTTAAGTCCGAAGAAGGAAACTAAAGGAAAGATAGAATGAACCTGTGGAAATGAAATATTTTGAGCCTTAAAGATAGTCTCGATCAACAAAGGGCGATTGGCCACCAGTTGGGTTGGCTGAAACACGTTCAGGTTTCCCGGCACGCACGTCTCGAGCAACTTGATGCATGCTGCGTAGTGGCACTGCTTTTCGTGCTCAATATACTGTTCCAACTGCTTGGATGGCAACAACTGCAGGACCTTGCTTCGGCACGCCGTGAAGCGGTGAGCCTTGATCGGGAGCCACATCGGTTTCAGCTTTCCTTAGAGCAGCTCACCCTAATTATCCATCTCCAAGTCCCCCTTGAATGCTACGAGACTCTTTAAAGTCTCCCTTGAATGCTACGAGACTCTTTAAAGTCTCCCTTGAATGCTACGTCTCTATATTCCCCCTTGAATGCTACGTCTCTCGGAAGATGGATCAGGAAGATTCCCCCTTGAATGCTACGTCTCTCGGAAGAGGGATTAGGAAGATGGATTAGGGGAAGCCGTAATTTCCCTTACACCAGTTGACGGTGACAAACGGCGCTGGGATCTTCTCGTAGGGCGTCGGTTCTTGCAGTGTCTTCGCCTTGCCAACGGCAGCAGAAGGACCCTCCTGACCCTCCATGTTGGAGCCGGAAGCACCGCCACCCTGTTCCGCACGCTTCTTCTGCTCGTAGTCCTCGCGGAATGGAGATTAGATACGAATTCGGTTCTGTGTCTTCTAAAAATGTAGTAAATGGTTTAGGTTTTGGTTGGAGGATAAGTGAGTCATGACGAAAGTGAAGCTCTACGCAGGTAGGTTTTGATTTATCGGAACTCGCTCGAACTACAAAAAAAAAATTCATGCAAAGCAAATTGAAGTGAAAAAGAAAATTCAATTTCAAATGTATTGTCTAACAAGTTGAAGTTGATCATCTCATTCATAAAAAAACTCATCCGGTCGTTCTCTTCTTGGTGACGTTCCTGTTGAGAATGGAATTACTGCCGGTTCGATATCCTTGAACTGCGAATCATCACCGTTCGTTTCCTCCAGGTATCTGGTCAGATAGTCGCCACTCAACTGGATGGCATTCGGATCTGGAGGTCTCTCCTTAGTCTCGGCATCCGAGCCTTCTTTCGAGTTGTCGCCTCCAGACTGCACGCCCCCAGCTGTGCTACTGCTGGCTTCCATCGCCTGTCTTCGTGCGTGAGGAGACATATCCTCGTCCATCTCGGGTTGGGTGCCAGAGCGTTGAGCTGCAGCACTGATGCCCACGTGACTCGGACCGGATTGCTGGGATCCTGAACCTGCAGCACCTGCTGGTTTGCGGTGGAAGAGCTCAGTTTCGACTGGCTTGATACGACCCGGCGCGCCAACGGCCTCGCCGCCCCCTGCGGCTGCCTCCGTTTTCGGCACGTAGGCTTTCGAGAAGCCGATCGCTTTTCCCCGCTTCAACTGCGCAGACACCGACTCGACCATGGGCTTCAAACTGCTGTTCTTCTCGAGCAGAGATGCGAAGTTCTTGATCACCGTGTCGTAGGCGAAGCTCAAAGCCTTCCAGATCTTGCTCATTTCTCGTCGTCGGTACATGTTGTAGCAGTACAAGGCGTACAGGTCCGCACAAGCACGATGATCCGCTGTGATTCGGACTTGCGGCAAGTCCTGGAGACTCTCGACTGGAATGGCGCCCTTCTCGCCACGTTCCGGCATGCCTGGGTGTTCCTGCTTGCTCAAGGCGCCTGGGCGCTTTAGCTCCTTCTTCTTCGCTTCGGCCTCGAGGCCCTGGCCACCAAGGTACTGAGAAACGACTGGCTGATAGGTAGCGATCTTTTCGTCCAAGGTCTTGTTGCTGTCTTTCTTCCTACCGGCTTTCCTGGTAAGCGCAGTGAGGTCGTCTTCGTCGTCCTCTGGTTCGTCTCCGAGTTGCCGTGGCCAGTCGACTTCCTTGCAGTATGCGCAAATGACTTTGACGCGACGGCTGTAACGAGCACGGAGCATGAAACCTGGAAGATGAGGTGGAAGAAAGAATGGTGGAGGACGGGGTGATCAGAATCAAAGAATGCATCTTGTTCTCGGTCTGCTAGTACACGGGAACGACACAGAACAAATGTACTATGTGCAACTTCTAGAAGATGCCACTGCCAAAAGAAGAATCAATAAAAAGTCCTTCTATTTACATCGTTCGCTAATCAATAAAAAGTCCTTCTATATATTCACATCAATGTTCGCTAATCAAGAACAAGTACCCTTGAAATTCGCCTGCAGCTTGCACACTAGTGCCAAGATCGCTGTTGGAGCCGCGTTCAAGATCTGTTGTGCCTTTTCCGGGTCCGTTTTTTCGTAGGAGCTGGACAACAAGTGGAAGTTATGCGAGTTGAGACCGTCATCCGGATGATCCGGCTTTGGAACTGGGATCTGGCAGTTCTGAATGTGTCTGATGTTGATCTCGTTAACGGCCTGCATGGCGTTAGCCTCCAGCATGGGCTGAAGACCGCGGAAGCAGGCGAGAGACAACTGTGCAACGACGGTGTAGGCTTGGAGATGGGCGTCTGGGCCCTCGAGAGCGCCGATAAGGTTGGCAATGTGCTTGCAGATGGAACGGACCTGGTCGACTTTGGTCAGATTATTGCTGCGGTTGGAAAGTTGTCACTTCAGAGTCAGTGATTTATATACGGGTGGAGCCAAGCTAACTAGGAAGAAAAAGTAAGGGTAGCAGGTAAAAGGTATATAAGTACAGATGATTTTGTCTGGTTCTGGTATTTGGTAACCTGAATTTGATCCTAAGGGTTCTCTTCTTGTTTTCCCTTAGGATCAAATTCAGGTTACCAAATACCGGAACCATTCAGATTTGAAATGAAGAAAATGTTGAGACGAGTCTTCATTTCTACTTTATATTGTTACCTCCGCGTCTTCCGTCCAGCTGCTTCCCGTGAAGCTGTCCAAAGCCTGTCTATTTGCATCCACATTATTAGCTGCAACAGCCTTTGCAGGACCCTTGCGCACCTTCTTGGCCTTCTCTTTTCGCTTCATGTACTGATCCATGTGCTCCTCAGCATCACGGTTGCTCTCCATAAGCATTTCACTGGCGAAGCGCAAAGCCAGTGTCTCTTCGAGGAAGTCCTGCAAGTTGGCAGCTTTGACACTGTTGGCACTCGCGGTGGCTGCTTGGACCTGACATGTAGACGAGAGGGAGTGGCCTTTTGCAAAAGAATCTGGTCAGAATGAACATGAGATCACATGCATTGTTCCTCTTGATCATGACGTTTGATGTTTATAAGTTTTCATCTCAGGAGCAAACCACGACCTTTCAAATTTGTATTTGATTGAAGAAATGTGATAAACCATTTACCTTATCCTTAACCGGATCGTTAACCGCAAACCCTGATCGCACCCCCACGCAACGATATTCCAGTGTCTCCAGAACGTCCCACTTCGGCCTCGACTTGATTCCGCGATAACGGTTTTCTCTGGTCGTGAACTGGTTCAGCGTCTCGATCCACAAACGCGACAACCAATACGACACGCATGTGTACATCGACTCGTTGCTGCTCATGAGGAGAACTGGGGTGGCCTTGGCTGGTTTCACGGTTCTGGCACCAGCGTAAGCGAACAAAGACTTCCAGATCATCACCATGGACAACAAAGCCTTGCGCCAGGGAGATAGGCCCTTGGTGTTTAGAGTCGTCACGTCCTGATTGATCTTGGTACAGATGATCTTGGCCGCCGTGGCCATGTGCTCCTGGACATCGGCTGGAAGCTCTTGGGGCTTGGGCAGCTTCAGGCGTTGGAACCAACTGCAGGGACGCTTGTCGTCGCAGCGGGAAAGGAGACCACCTGGGATGGAGGGAGGAACAAGACGATGCTGCGGCTTACATTGATAGGAGTTTCACTACTTGATCCTGATACTTCTCAACAGAAGGGAATACAAGCCAATTTCAAAAGTCTAAGTTGACAATGACAACTCCAAATTTCAAGTACCCAAAAATGCGCTCGCCAAGAAGTATGTTGCTCTCAAATTCGCTTTTTGATGACTCTGCACTAGTCTCTGCGCAATAGCCTTCGGAATCCATGGGATAGACGTCTTGAACTGTGTCGTCTCCCAGTTATCCAAAAAGTCGTGGTCGATCAACTTGTTTTCCGCCAATTGTGGTGCCGTTGGTCGCTTCGCTACACGCAAGACGTGCTTGATATTGGCACCACGCCTTTTCATCGGGTGGATAGACGCCGTCTTGTCGCCACTGGGCATCGTCTTCTCCAAAGCGCGCTTGGCGTTTTCGGTCAAGACCATGATTTGGGTCTTGGTAAAGCCGACCGCCATCTGATCCCCGTCACCGGCTCCGACCGCCAATTTGCCTTCGAGCTGTTCTTGTTCGCGGACACTGCGTTTGCCGCGAGCGATAGCGAAGGAGAGAGGCTCCGAGAAGGACAACCTGACAGGTTGCAATGTGCCCTTCATGTTCTCCCTGTTGTCTTTCTTCTTCGCTCTCGCGTGCTTGCTCTGACCGTGCACAGCAACCATGCGACGATAGTCGATGTTGCGCTCACGATGCTTGTGCAACTGCACGCGGGATTTTGCGACCAAAGCCGCTTTTCTGGCCAAGAATTCGCTCTCCGTCATGTTTGCCGCCTTCTGGCACAAGCCAAAGGCCTCAGCTTTGAATTTAGCAGCCAAACGACGACCTTCCTTGTTGAAGACGACCATGATGAGCAGTCGGCGAACGTACTTCTGGATTACGGTTGCTGCATTGACCATCGTGCGCATCCACTTTCGCATGACCGCACCACGCCAGACGCGCTGCATTCTGGCAACTGCAACCATGAAGCTCAAGTTTCGTTTCTTACGCTGTACCGCACGCACGTTGTGCTGCACCATCTCCACTGCGTTCAGCATGTTGTAGGTCTTCACTGATGTTCGCACGCCACGCCAGTAGCGCTGCAACATCAAAGCTGGTCCAAGTTGTTTTCGCCGCTGCGTCGTGGCCTTGTAGTACCGGTACTTGCTCTGCAATTGGACCGATGCTCGGTGGTAGTACGTTCGCACCATCAAACCGCGAGACAACAGGTGGAACAAGACAACTGCCAGAACAAACGGACAGTGGTCATGCTTTGCCTTGTACGCTAGGTCGAACAACTTGTCGATGACCGCGATGAAACGACTCTGTCGCACGTTGCCTTCGCCCGTTCCTTCCTGCTTCTCCTTCTCAGCGTCTTTCTTCCGTCTGATGTACCGAATGATGCCCTCTTGATCGCGCATCAAATAGGCTAGTTGCTGGATGATTCGGAGACATGCTGGCCGGTTGAAGAAGCTGAGTTTGCCACCCTTGTACTCGGGTCCCATGACCGTCATTGCGTTACGGCTGAGCAACGGATTCTGGTTCGGATCTGCTAGTTTGCTAACCTTGCCATCTGCGTTCGCCTCTAAGCCTGGCAACGTCGTCACAAACTTACCGACTTGCGTCGCGAGGGAGTAAACGGTACCTAAGAAGATGGTGGTAACAAATGATGTTCTTGAGATGATGGGTGTTCCTACAGTACCACGTGTAAAATGAGCCGAATTTATTGGAAATGGATTTTCATTTTAATATTCGTTTTGTTTTCATCACGACTAGCTACTAACTTAGTTATGAAGTACCATGAGCCTTCGGCCATTCACTCGGGAATCGCAGACCCATTTCTTTTGACAAAACGTCCATGATCTGCGATCCTACAGTGGCATCCACACCTTGAAACGCAAAGTGATCATCCGTAGACAGACTTGCTAAGTCCAACGCCTGTCTTGTGGTGATCAGGATCTGCGCCGTCAAGAAGACATGTCGTAGATGTGGTGGCATGTTCGCTAGGAAGAGGATGTAGAAATTCTCTGGTGTTGCTGTCATCATGCGGTCATGATGGTGGTTGATGTGGCAGTAGTCCTGCGACATCGACTCTAGCGGCTCTCCCGGTCGTGGCGGCACTGGCATATCTGGCTGTTTTCCGAGTGTGACCTCCTCGAAGGGGTAGGCTGGACACTTCAAGAAGCTAGTAGCCAAGTGCGACATGTTGTAGCAGCACCACTTCACCGTATTCGAAAAAACGTCGTTGTCGATGTGCGACAGCAGGTGATGCACGATTGTGACTAACATGTGCGTGCCTAGGTCGTTCTCACTTTCGTCCAAGGTCAAATCCTTGGCTGAGCATCGTTTTGACCGTTGGCCGATTTCTTCGTTCGCGAGTTTACCGGTCACGCGAGTCAGGCCTAAAGTTCGCTGCAAACTAGCCTTGATCTGTTCTAGGACCTCTTGGATTTCTGGAGGCAAATGTCTGAACCACGGATGCACAAAAGACCGCATGTTCGACGCACCAAGGAGCGCGGAGACCTGGAGGAGTTCTTTGTTGTATTTGTGCATTGTTGAGTTTGAGAAAGATGAATATGAAATCAACAAGATGTAGTTACACAAGATCATTTGTTGATGCCAGTTTAAGTTTGTTCTTGTCTTCCCTTCACATCGAAAGGATAAGAAAATCTCCGTCGTCGGACGTAGCTAAGAACGTAACTGGATATAACGTAAGAAGTAACAATCTATTTTAGTGAACAGGTACCAAAACAGTGCTTATTCTCTTATCCGCTTCTGCCTTGTCTCGTTTTTCGTTGACGAAGTATTCGTAGCTCTTGTGCTTCCTGAAGTTCCTCTGGATCATAGTTGCTGCCAAGTCCTGCAATTTGTCCTTCATGACCTGTTTCCTAACTGCGTAGATTTCGTCTAGCCTTTGGTACAAGAACATCTTCATGTTCAGCTGTGCTTGCCATCTTCGCCAGTGTGACTGGATCTTCGTGCCCATCTTCTGCTTGTGGTTCATCAGTTTTCTACACAGGTAGCCACGCATGCGAGCTTGCACTAGAGTCACGTTCTTCACTAACAACTTGTGTCGTATCCTAGTCAAAGTTCCTCTCGCCATGGCCTGTAGTCTCGCCGCTGCTTGGTTCATGACGCGCACTGGCTTGCGTCCGTAGAGATACATGCGGAACGCACGCTGCAAAACGTCGGCAGCCCTATGGAACCGTTTCACGTGTGTGCGGCACACGCTACCTCGGAACGCACTCTGCAACTTGGTGGCTGCTAGATTCCTATCGTTGATACTAATTCTGACGATCTTTCCTCGGAACAGAGCCTGAATCTGCGCTGCCCTCTTGTGCATCATTTCCTTCTCCTGATGGGCCTTGAATTTGCGGTACCAACCACGCAAAATGATAGCGTTACTACCGTGTTTACCTGTCGTCAGTTAGGGATCATCGTAGTTTCTTTCTTCGTTACAACAGAGGTACTCAGTTTTTATGTTTTCACCAACAAAATCTAAATCAACACCAATTTGCTTTTGCACCAAAACCATTTCTACTTAAAGTTAGTGTTAGAAGTCCAAAAAAATCAAATTACCAAACACTCGCTGGCAGTCCCACATTCTTTTGTATTTCTGAATCACGATCACCGCCGCTGTTTCCCTTCGCACCTGCGATCGTGCCAGTGCTCCTCTACAGAACTTCTGAATAGAAAGAAGCGCTTTCTGCTCCTTTGCTTTCTGGATGATGTGCCCTGGGTCGTCGCAGATGATTTCTTCCTTGAAGTTGTAGTAGTAGCCCTCACTAGTAGAGCTCAGCCTAGGTGGGTTTAGTCGCTGCAAGAAGTAGTGCTTCGCTGGTGTGATTGCTAAGGCCTGTTCGAACGTGTCTTTGGTGAAGTACAACCACTTGTCGCCGCCTTCGTAACCTGATGGAAATGGTGGTAACGTAGGTGGTGGATTTTTGATGATAGGATGTCATTAAAGTAGTGAATTATACGAATAAATGTGGACGACCATCTTGTTCTGAGAGTAGTTTCTCGACAAGGTACTTCTGCGGGTAGAAAAGCATTCAAATTCAAATCAACAAATACAAATAGTACCTGTCTTATCCGACTGATTATCTCTCGCCAAGAACCTCCTTCTGTTCGTAAATCCTACATTCAGCATCGGCACGTAGTCCTTCATGATCTGCACTTCCGTCGCTGTCAAATACCGGCAACCCGGCAACGGTTGCACCCAGTGCTTCCTTCCTCTCCTGCTCTTGTGCAGCTTCTGGAAGCAGGTGATGCAGAAGTAGTCGCAGCACTGTTGGCACCATGATATCGAGTCTGGAAGACCGCATTCTGAACATTTGATCTTCACGAAACCCCTGTAGTCCCACAGAAAGTCGTTTTGGATGGCGTCGGACAGATGCTCCCTAAAAGCATCGATCATGGGATGGATTGGCTGGATGTGCTCGGTCTCCAGATTTATGTACCATCTGACGTCGTTCTTCACGATGAGGTCCCAGTGAGGAGGCAGGACATATCGAAGGGCGAAATAGCAGTACCTGATGATAGTCTAATTGGAAGAAAATTTTTTTGAGTTTGGGAATTTGATGTGCAGCCGACTTCAGACCTTCAAAGACAGCGGATTGTTCAAGAATTTCAGTACCAGTAGAAGTGGTAGTTGCCCAATATTCCCAACTGCGTCGCTAAGTCCTTGATTTGCTTTGGTGACACTGGAAGCATAGCCGATGTCTTGTCTGGCGCACCTCTAGTTCGAAGCATCAATCGCATAGCGTTCGTGCCTTTCACTTTGTAACTTCTCATGATGACATCCAGAACATCTGGCCCTATAGTTCGCTGCTTTACGAATTTGAGGTCGTTTACTCTGAGGTAGACATCCTCTTCGTCCCCTAAACCAGCCTCGAGCATCTGCTGCGTGGTTAGCTGCTGACCCTTTGTTGGGGCTTTTACCTGCGAGCAGTTGTGCGGACCAAGAACGAGTGCTTGGAGAAAGGTAAAGGAAGTTGTAGCCCTTCTACCCAAAAAACCTAAGTAGCATAATAAATAATGGTAATGGATCATGGACTAGACGGTGTAGTTTAACAAGTACTTATTGTTTATAACGAGCACGAGGATCATTTCCAGGGGTATCAATCTACAACAGGTAAATAATAGATACCTTCTTCTTCCCTCTATTCGCCTTCGCTTCATCGCTATCTCCTTTTGCTTTGTCTTCTGGGAGCATACCATCTGGCAGGTTAACCTCTGGTGCTGGGTCCGTGGCCTCTGAGGCCTTGTCTTCCTCTTCCTCCTCTGTGATTTCGTCTGCAACTCCTGGCTCACCTAATATTGCGTCTAAATTGTCTACGTCTTGCAACTCAGCCGTGATTTCGGAAGAGTCCTTTACCCACTCTGGCATTTTACCTGGAAGTTTTATTATTAGGAGAAGGATAGACGGTTATCCACAGACCTGAAGTTGGCAGTTGAGCGAATGGACACGCACATCAAGGATTATAACTTGAAACAAAAATCATGGATGTAGGAAGTCTGCAGTTCTTCAGAATTTACAGGAAAATCTAAAGAACTGCAACAAGAACAACAAAGAAGTCATAGTACCCAAAGCCAAGGCCTGAAACGCATGACTTGGCAACTTCCTTTGCCTCACCTTATAGGAGAAAATCGCCTCTTCCATCTCTTGATCGTTATCCAACGCCCTCTGCGCGTACCAACCATGCAAAGGGTCTGCTGCTTCGCCTCCGCTCACCTGCTGCAGAGCATCTGGAAATCCCCATGCGTCTGGGTGAAACATCATCAAGTCCACAAAGTCCATCCTCATGTAGAACAAGTGCTGCTTACGTCTCTGCAGTTCGAACCACAAGACACCCTTGACGTCCCGAATATGCTGCTTCATGAACTGTTCTCTCGCCTCGTAATCGTACATGTACAAGTTGGACAGGATAGAAGCGTCGGCACCCATCTTCACGGTTTCGTTCACCATGTCATTGAGACCCGGACGGAACATCTGGGTCCACCTGGCGCCGGCTGTTCTGGCCTTCTCTAGGGCGATTCGCATATGCGGAGGCTCGATACCAGCAGCAATGCGGCACGTTGTGGCTCTCACTCGGAGATCGGCCTCGTAGGGGACCGGACGGTTCATCTGTGGAGGTGATGATTCTGGTGGTGGGGTTACTTGAGTTTCAGTTATACTTATAGGAGGAAGATGAATTAGAATTATGGTGACGTTTTTTCCTCTTCAAGAAGAACAGAGTCGGATCCATCAACATTCACGTTTTACAACTACGTTGTTCACCAACAATAGACCAAAGCATTATATTATAAGTGAGAAACAAACCAATGATAAAAATTGAAAACTACCTGCGGATGGTAATCCTGCAGTCCCTTTTTTTTTATCAACTCGTCCAAGGGGGTGACTCTTCTCAGATACGTTTGTTGCATATCCACGTCCATGTGTTTGCGGACGAAGTCCCTTGGTGGTCGGATACTTGTATACGTCGCTGGAGTGGACGCACGTGTGTCCGAAATCCGACCGCCGTCTTCCAGTAGTCTCTTGTTCTGCGCATCGTGCTCCTTCACCGTCTCGTTCGTCAACAGAGAACGCTCCGCGATCGCCGCTAAAGAGGTTGCTAGACCTGGGGCCGATAGAAAGCGAAGCTGATACAACAAGCATTGGATCGTAGGGTCTAGCATTGGATCGTAGAGTCTAACAGCATGTTGGTATCACCTCAAATTGACAATTGTCCAGCAACATTTCAACTGGCAGATTAGATATCCTAGATATATTTATAAGGCTGAAACCAGCAACGAAGACAAACCTGCTTTCTCCGGTCGGATCGGGTCGAGACTGGCGTCCCTGTCTTTGTCGAACTTTGGCATATCCTTTAACAATTTCGCCTTCTGATCGCTCAAAGTCGTAGGGATAGGCGGTTGTGTTGATAATGCCGGGTGCTTCTTAAGAGCGGCACGGTTTTGGTCGGCTGTGATGGTGGTGCCGTTTTGGATGGAGAAGAGAGGATGAGAAGAGAGGCTGCGAGGGGGTGGTGGTGGGGTTTTGGATGGCCATGAGAAATTCTGTTTGTGGACAAGAACAGCATGAGCTACAGCTGTACCAAAACCCATTGCGGGGTAAGACTAAGAAGGTCGAGGCATGTTGTGCTTGTGATTGAAGTATCAACTGAACTGATGATGTGTACAGATGATCCTCGTCATCAACAATATGATTCTATAAAAGCGTGGTACCCGGATCTTCATCACTATCTTCTTCTTCATCATCATATTCCTCTTTTTCCCTCCTCATGAACTCCTGAAAGTTCTCTGCTGGTTGTGATGGTGGCGGTAACCGTTCTGGTTCCGGCTTCACCACTCCTGAGTCTTCACTCTCGCCATCGCTACCATCCGCATATTCCTTCATCAACTCGTAGTACTCGTGCAGAGTAACCGTGTAGTTCTTCGGAAAGTACCCCTTCTGCGTCGGGTCCGAGATGAGCATACCCAGAAGCCAGTCAGAACCATCATCGTACATAACCTTGATGGTCTGACCAGTAGTGAGTGGCAGAGGTTTCTGCCGCTTGAAGGGCCAGTCGATCTTCGTGGGATCGAAGTTGTACAAGGCCACCAACTGCTTCTTGTCGTCTGACATCTTGGGCGGATTTTTGTGGTTAAGGAACTACAAGAAGAAGTAGTAAGTAGTGCTACTAGTGTTATTGTCCTTGTCGTCTTACTACTAGAAGTACACGATGTGCGGCCGCTCTTCTTGATGCAGAAAGGCGTCGTTAATATTGTGGGTAGTAATTTCTAATCGTTCTAGTTTGCTGTCGTTAAGTGTCTAGGAGTTGCACTTCTTTTAGATGTCTAGTAGCGCCTCCGCGACTTGAGGCTCCCCTTTATGGTTGCGCCGTTACCGGTCCCTCGTACTATCTAGGGGCCTCGGCGAACCAGGATCGTAACCATGAAATTTGCTTATCAACATGATATTTTCGTTAATTGTTTCAACACAAACACAAAGTGGTTGTTTATACGAAAGTTTACTGTCTTCTAAGTCGAGTATTTTGTGGCGTTGAGAGAAGTATGCAAATGCAGGTAGTTCAACAACATGCAAATGAATTCCCAATCACATCATCACTTGACAGTTTTTCGTGTATCTACATCTACATGTCATATCATCCTGGTTTGGTTTCATTGGAAGTTCAATTATCTGGAGTATTTCCTAGTTGGTCGAAAGGTCAAGGGGACGACGAGGAGGATGCGGTGGATGGAGGGGAGAGGGAAGGAAAAAGCGGTCGCTCGTTATTATCGAAGCATTTACTAACTCGAACACGAAAAACTCGAATAAAATTAAAAACTCCAAACTCGATACTAATTCTCATACTACACTCGCGTCATAAGCCGCACCGAGTCTTATTTTCTCGTCTATTCGAAAGCTGACCTCGTTCTTTGCTCTCTCTCACGACTCTTCATTGACTGCACTCGCGATAAAAAGTCCGAATCTATTCTTCATTCTTCAGTCACCGCAGCTGGTACTTACTTTTAGTCCTTGCTTGTATCATTGAAAAATATACAGAATCAATCCTGATCACTCCTAGAAACTCTGGATAAAACAAATGACAGCCTCTGCCCTGTGATGTAGAGGTATTCCGACCATATTATTTTCCCCAAAAGAAGTACAAGCATCTCGACAAATTGAAGATCATACTCCCAATCAAGTTCGAATAGCATCGAATATAATATTGCGGTTTTTCTACCATCGAGTCTGTTAGTACTCGCGTTGGTTGTAGTCATCTGCGAACGATAACGAGGAGTGCGACTGCAATGTTGTGAACAAGAATCGATGAAGTTGGAATAAGGGATCAATCATGCGCTGAACTCATAAACCAAACTCTATCCTTATCCCGTTGTCAGAAGTCAAATTGTACTTCTACTTCATTGTCGTCAGAAGATGCCTTCGCGTAAGCCAAGATTCATGGTGATATCTTGTTGTTCAATTTTCCCAATTAGCCATATAGAAACTGCTGCACACAACTATCATAAGTCTTGTTTCTTTAGCCCATTAATATGTTGGCTTCTCATTCGTACCTCGACGAATATCAATCACAATCGTTCATTGTTGTTGCATCAGTAAAACCCTTTTAGTTCTGCATTTCGAAAATTCATGCACATTTGGTGGACACAACCCGCAGGACGAGGCAGCCACAACATCAACGAGACGTTGAACATGCACCAAAAAATCAGAAACTTCAAACTTATACTGCAAGAAAGATAAGAAGGACTTTGTTCAATGTTGACCGGAAAATCAACTTAAAAAATCAGCACAACCACTCAAATAGCAAGCGTTAGCGTTTCCTAATACTCAGAATCTCAGTTGTATTTGTATAATAATCTCAGTCAGATGAGGACCATAAACATAATCCTCTCTTTAATTACTCGCCACCATTGCTTGCTTATAAGCTGACGCATCTACTGTTTTGAGCCATTTGAGATTCGCTGCTGCTTGCACTGCGATGTCCTCGGCTGGACGGGCATCTTCAGCTCCCTTCTCTCCTGGTGGCGCTACGCGACCGAGACCCTTGGCAACACGCGCTTTCTCGTTTTCTTTGCGAAAATAATCACGAGCGTCAATGATCTTGGACACGTGCGTTGGAAAATCGACTTTTACGTCAGCAGGGAGGACCAGGAAGAGAGTATGAGAGTGGGAATGAGGTTGTTGTGCTTGTGGTGGAGTTCGTTAATGAATGGAATCATTATCCATCTGAGGGGTGAGGAGGCTACAGAAAAAATGGGGATGGACTGGTGCTAATCGTTTTCACCACGTGAGGACCTATGACTTTTCCTCGTTCTAGTGAGTCATTCTTGAAGAAGTGAAAGAAAAATCTTCCAAAGGAGCCATAAAGTTCTCCCTCTGCTTCCTCAACCTCGAATCCCACAGCCAGCAGCGCTTCCAACGCTGGCGTAACAGACGTAATTGCTGCTGAGATCTTCTTGTTCGCCAACTTTATGCGTCTGAACTTTCCCTCCTTCGGGTTTTGAGCGATGTTCTTCAACAGCGTCTCCAGTACGTCCAAGGTAGCGGCTGTCGCTAAGTCAACCGGCACACCACGAAGAGCCTTTTCCAGCACAGTGAGCTGGTCAGCCACGCGCATACCAGGTCCGAGTCCGTAGTAACCCATTTTGTTTGTTTGTTTGTTTGTTTGTTTGGTGTTGACGAAGAGTCGCAAATGTAGATGAGGGTTTTACGTTTGTCGTCGTTGCCGTTGACCAGATGAACTAAAAAAAATTCTGCCTACCAATGACAATGAGAGCTTTCTGAAGGACGATAGATGTGACTCTCGAAGATATTTGAATCAAGAACTTGAACTTTGCGAAAAAAAAACGTCGAAAGAGAGGTCAGAAATCGAGAGGGAATGGAACTACTACGTACTACTTCTGCACCAAAGAAAACAAAGGAACATGCAAGTCGTGGAGAAGTCTAGTATTGGTATTGCCCAATCAAAAAACAAAACGATTGAATTCAGGATGACTACGCTTCAAACTGTTCGCACATAGCGAGCAATCAAATCGCGTCGAGGAGGCGCCTGTTGAATAAATCAGAGGTAGGTCTAAAAAGATTGAAAAAAGCCCTTGTGCGCGAGGCTGACTAAGCATAAACACAGCTCCCATCTCGACTCGTCAATTTCCTTCTACTTTCGCAGATGAGTACACAGCATCATCATTGGGGGAGTGACGAGGTCGAACGAACAAGAACGGCGAATTCGTAGATTGCTGCGAACAACTCTCTTATCGCTTCTTCACTCCCTCGTCTTACAAACACCAAGATTAATATTTCCTGTGTGCCTGCCAATTCGACATTTTTGTCATAATTCGTGTTCTAGAATACATTGAACTTGAAGTGGGTTTAGCTACAACGACTCACTGGAATCAGCCGATGGCGATGGATCGATCAACCGTAGCATATTATCGTTTCACGCCGACTTTCATGTTCATTTTCACGTGCTAATTTGGACTCACAATAAGACAGCGATATGGTTGCGATTTTCCAAGCCCCATGCAGTGCGTGTATTCGCCGTCCTATGATACATTTGTCAGTTCAATAATCAATCACATCAACCCATATCGTGACAAAGTCGAGGCATTTCCTCACAAAGATTAAGCATTGCTGTACATTTTTTAGATTGATTGTGCTAAGTAAAACGTAAATCCTCAAGTGTCTATTGTCTTCAGATTGTTCAATATCAATAACAAGTCTTCGAACTTGTTCTAGATCTAGTAATCTGTAATCTGTAATCGCATAATGATAATGATTTTGATTTTGATAATTGTTTCTGTGCCGATTTGAAAGTATATCGCAAGTACATCAAGTTCATTCTTTGATGTGTAAGTAGAATGTGTCTTCATGCGCATGCATAGTAAGATTCATAAGGTTAACTTTGTTCATTTTTGTCGTTCAGAGCATTCACAAGATTTCTTTAGCGAGAAGCGGGTGACTCCGTATGGACCTATGCATTCGGCCCGATCCCCGTTCCAAAAGCGCCTAGTTTTCTCCCCTCCTTCGACACTGCCATCTGCCTGATCACCTCTTTGTACTCTGGCGTCCATTCTTCGTCCTTCACCACTAGTGCGTCCTTCTCTACTGCTATGTCGATGAAGCGCTCGTGTGGTCTTCTCATCGACTCACCCGTTGTGAAGTTGTAGTAGTACTTCACGCCTCGGAGATCGTAAAACGCTGACCACTCTTCACCCAGTGTCGTCTGAATCGGTGCTCGCTTTGAGAAGCCCTCTTGTGCCTCGAAGGCTGGATTCACTTCACCTAAGGCCCAGACCCTAGCTGGTCCGCCTGGCGGCTTGGCAGTGCTGGTTGCTGCGCCGCCACCTGGACCGGCTCCCGCGGCAGCACCAGGAGCCGCCTTGCTGGCTGGACTGCCACCGGCTGCTGCTCCTGCGTCCGGCTTCCTCCTAGCCGTGTAGTCGATCCTCAACGGCTTCAAATCGAGGAATTTGGGCAGAGTTTTCACATGCTTGCGCGCATAGCACTCGTGGCAGTAGTTACCAAAAGTGTACGTACACTGCAGTTTCGCCGGAAAAGCGCGACACAGGCAGCACGGAATCAAATGGTTGGGTTCGTGCTTGTGCCTATTGCCTTTGCTATGCAATCGCTCGAAGCAGTTCTCGCAAAAACAGTCCTCACAATCCGGACAATAACAAGTCGCTATGACCTGACACTCGATGCAGTAGAGCTGCGCGTGTGCTGAGGGGTTGACGAGTTCTCCGGGATCGTCTTCGAGGTCCATATTCCTGTTGAGGTGGTGGGATGATCGGATAGAAGTCGTGGGAGAAGAAGCAGCCAGGACTTTGTACTATTCGGGGAGAGGTATGTGAATGTGAACAATGTGTCATGTCAACAACATGAAGATTTGGAATTTTAAGTGAAGCCAATGTAATTCACAGAAAGAAACGAGTACCTAGCTATCCCCGCTTTTGCCCTTTCGTTTTCCACAATCTCCAAACACCACTTGACCTCCTGTGAGTCGATCTCCTCTTCTAATCGGTACTGTTGTGAAAACGCCTTCAGGAACGTCTTCAACGTCCTCACCATGAATGGTTCTTTCGGCAGGTCGATCTTGAGCATCTCCGCGATCTGTTGCACGTACAGTGGCGATATCAGCGGCTGTTGCAAGCTCACATCATGCTGACTCTCCGCCTCGTACGTCCACAACATACGGTTCAGCCGCAACTTGATGTGTTCTTCCTGACTAGCGCGTCGACAGTGGTCTAGAAGTTGTGAGAAGTAGTCGTAGAAAGGATGTTTCCATGTGGTTTCTTGTGACTCGTTGTTGAGGTAGCAAACAATGGAACCGACACCCTTGTAGGACGTCCAGGGTACGGGTAATTCGACCTCGGCGAATGCCTCTACAACCCAGCTAAATTCCTTGTCCGCCTCTGGATCCGCGTTCAAATATGCAAACCACTCCTCTAGAACAGGCCTCAGATGTTGTAGTTGGGACGAACATGATGACGCAATGATGATAAGACAAGTAGATCATACATGATGACGGAAATGGTCATCATGGTGATAGTCAAGATGTAGATGATCATGATTTTATATATTCATAGGACGTTCCTTGGGAAAATAAACCAAATACTTGTTCGGCTTCGGTTGGAAACCACGAAGCTCCACAACACCCAAACTGAGTTACCTCTGTCCCATGCATTTGAGCATCGGCACTGTGGCTGCCTTTTCCAGTGCCTTCTGGGTAACTGGATCCGCAATACCGAACAATGATAGAGGATCCGCATCGAGGAAATCCAATGCTTCCTCTGACAATTCTCGGTTGTCCTCAAGAATCTGCAAAGACTCAATCCAAAGTGCGTCGACATCATCCGTCCAATCCAGGAGGATGTTCTCCGGGTGGACGTAGGCGACCCTGTTGTAGTTGGGAGGAGAAGGTGAGGCACTAGGAAAGGCTATTGATGTTTGTGAGATCGATGCGCATGTACTGAGAGATGGGTGGTTGCAATGCAAGAAGAAATATTTGATTTCACGTCACAATACCCTGAAGAAGCTCGTCAATACCTGTATTCCGGTCCATTATCTCCTTCTTTCGTCTCAAAAAACACTGTTGTATCATCCACCTCCACTCCTGCTTGGAAATTCGCTGGGATCACACCAGGCACTAAATCATCTGGCACTTCTGGCACTGGTGGATACTGGAATTTGTAGACATCTGGCACAACCGTTCTTACTTCTCCGGGAATATCGCTTTCTTCCGGGATCGTGACCATGTAACCGAAGGAAATAACCTTGTGCCTCCTTGGTTGCTCCTTCACCCTGACGATAGGGATTTTCACCTCGGGTTCGGCAACCCTTCGGTTGCCGCCTCCGCCTTCGCCGTCTGCCATCTTCTGCCGCTGTTGATGTAGTCTGCTTACGCAGGAATACTACTGAGAAGAAGAAGGTGAAGTTCTTGAAGAGTTGTTGCTTTTTGGTAGGTCTTTTTGTTCTTGAAGGTGAAGTTCTTGACGACTTTCTTTTTGGTCTTCTTGTAGTTCTACTTCTATGATTCTGTATTCTCAAGGTCAAGCTCTTGTTCTTAGATGTCGAAGATACGTATCACAGCTGCCGGCAAGAGACGCCTTAGCCGGCGTCGGCGGCTTTATGCGGATCGTCCGCTCCTCTCCAACAATGCATGTTTTTCTACTTCTACCATTTCATGAGTTACTATGGGGAAATAAACCGCCTATACATTTTAGGGATGGGATGGAAGGAAAAATATGATAGCGTTGTTTGATCATAGTTAGAAGACGTAGAAGTCGTAAGGGTCGAACAGCATGCAGGAAAAATAAATCGCGAATTTCTTGTCTTTCATAATGCGAGATGAATAGATGAAAAGGGAATACTTATCGAGGACACTGAAGGTGAAGGCTCTGGGTAGGGAGGTATACAATTTCTTGCGCTGTTTTCGACGAGTCTGAAGTGTCCGAAATTTCGTGCCCTTCTCGTCCGTCAACAAAACGACCATGGATCTTCTCGTTCTCGCTCTCAGTCTCTCTCTCTGACCATCGCTGTCTCTCACTCTCGCTTGTCGGGTTGTATTGAAATTTAACGAGACCACGACATAGCGCCAGTGAACTTGTTGCTTGTCTTTGTTTCTGAGTGTTGCAAGCCAATTCTCACAATGATTCAATATCTTTCGTACATTTCAAGGTGCGATCTTAGTGTCGTGTTTGTCAATAGTGTTCTTGAATTATATCAATGCTTTAATCTTTCAGCTGTATATTAGTCTTACTAGTCAACATAGCATACAATGAGTGGCGCAGGCGCAGCCAAAGTTCATAGATTCAGTACAATTTTGACAACCATGTGGAGAGTAATTCCGAAAGTTCAATCTGTGCTATTCATGAATTATGGTATCATTCCATGATCAATGATATTCCCAACAAGTTTGATGTGATTGCGCGGGCGTGATGCATTCGCCAGTGTCAGTGTGATTCAAATTGTAAACTAATATGATAGTCTCGATGCTATCGTTCAAGTTCCTTAATTTTCAACAGTTATTCAAGTAAAGTCCAGTATGGCTCTCGATAGGGGATCTAGATAAACCTCCCCTGTCTGAATCCGCTGTCTCTCGGCATTACGATCGGTGTCGGCTCACACTCGTGCGCCAAGAGCATTCTATGATTGACTTTCGGTCCATATTCATAGTAGCCCTTGTCGAGTCTCAATCGGTCCACTGCTTCCTTCCTGGACGGACTGAAGCCACTGCGCTCTCCCCTCTGAGGATCTGCAGGGAAGCCATCGACTGGGTGTCTTGCTGATGTTTTAGGTGATGTTTTAGGGCCATCAGCCCGTTGCTTTGGACCAAAGTAGTCCTCTCGCGTGTTGTTTTGAAGCAGGAATTCTTCTTGGAGACGATGATGACCGCTCTGTTGTTCTTGTGCATTTTTACAACCAGCTGCACTACGTCCAGCACCTCTACTTGGCGATGCTCTACTAGCTTGAGCTTCTCTGTCCAAATAAGCGTTCATCCCAGGAATTGAGCGCTTGCCGCGTCCATTCGAGACGAAATCGCCGAGAGAAGTGTCCCCACCATAACGTGGTGAGTGCGGCGACCGCGCAGAATGCGCTAGAAGTTCTCCAGCCTCTGCGAAAGAGAGGTCCTGATTGTCTAGGAAGACGTTTCGAGCAGAAGTTGGGGCTCTGTTACTAGTAGAGGCGTTGTTTTGATGATAAGCGGGCGAAACAGCTGCATCTGTAGTTGGAGTCGGTTGCTGCGGAGGTTGGGTTGCATAAGGTGCTGACACAAGACCATGTCCTGCACCTTTCAACACTGCGGATGGTCGACCTGCAGCTGGTTGTTGAGCTTGAGCACCGCCACCACCTCGAGCCGACCTCGATCCATAGTTGTATTCCTTCGTTTCTTCCTCATATCCCATGTGATAGCGAGCTGCCTCCAACTCATCTGCCGTGTACATCATGCGTCCATTACCATTTTGTTCCGCCTGTAGTTCTAGTTGTTGTGCTCTCGGAGAAGCCAACGCTGGATCATGGTATCTGGCTTTTGGAATCAAAGCCCTGGTTGGATTGCCTGGCATATGCACTGGGTGACTCCTACTCTTATCCTTGCGCGCGTTGACGACTGGACTGTGGTCGGCAGGACCGAAGCCTGGATAAAGACGTGATCTATGAGGTGAGTTGTCGCGACTCAATTTTGTGTCCTCGTATTTTCGTCGGGATTGTTCATCGACCATCACGGCACCACGATTCGGGGAATAATGTCGCTTGACGGTGGTTTTGCTAGCACCTTGCTCCTGCTCAGCAATGGAGGGCATGGACCACATGGCTTCTGGGGAAAAAGTAACGTGCTGATTGTGATTTCCGTTGTTTCCCTGATGCTGATTCGGATTCATGCGGGGAGTCGTCATGTTGCTAGGAGCATTGCCAGCTGCTCGATCAGCTATTGCACTCGCCGTCTTTCCCTCAGGAATGACATACGTCAGGGTCCGTTCATTCGGTTTCTCCGTGTAATTCGAAACCTTCGGTACATACCGCGTCAAAAATGGATCTCCCGTGTCGCAGCGATTGTAGCGCAACAACTTCCTGTCCGGTCCGAAAGTTTCGTTTTGGTAGGTGTAAAGCTCGTGTTCCGGTTTAATGCTCAACGGCGGCTCTGGTTTGTAGCAATCTGGCACATTGGTGTGCAACAAAGTTGGCATGTTTTTCTTGCTATTGGCATCTTGATTTGCCGTGTTCTCCAACAATCCCCCATGACGCTCATTGCGCGTCGTCACTGGCGCAAAGACGCGACCTTGGTCCAATTGCATGTTCTGCAATTGGCGAGCGAGATAGCTGCGCTGAGTTTCACCAACTTCGAAGTAGTGACCTTTGCCTTGGTTGATGATGTCACCTGGGTGCTGTTGAACACCTCCTCCCACTCCGGAACTAGTAGCTGTGGTGTAGTTCTTATCGTCTGCTGCGTGAATACCCTCATGGTGCTGCATTCCCATTCGCGGTGATCGTCCACCTCCAGTTGTGTTCAGCATCTCGTATTGTGCTGTATTTCTGTCCAAAATGTCGTAATATCCCAAAGTTCCTGCACCACTTTTGGCTGAAACCTTGTCTAGTTCGTGCGAAACCATGCCAGCTGGCTGACGGCCCAGAAGCTCCACAATCTCAGGACCCCAAACTGTCACTGGACTCCTAGGAATTTTGCCAGGAGAAGGTCGTTGAATGGGGGCGCGGATGCCGGTTTCGGTGTTTTCACCTGTTGTGTCGAAGATGCCAGCGTTAGTGTAGTTAGAGGAAGAACCACGACAAGCAAATCATAACATGATGCTCATGTTGTTGACCATTCCAAGTTAAAAAAAACAGAAAAAGAGTGTGCTGGAATGCTAAGATGGTGACAACTAGCCCGATGAAATGTCCAAAATTACCTACTTACCAAAAAAAAAAAATCTATGTACCAAATCTCTCATTATATCTCTTCGGCAACATCCCTCTCTGCGCATGCTCCACTGGCCCAGTGACTCTTTCCAGCCCTGGTGGTGCATCTGCACCGGCGAATCTTGAGCGGTTTTTGCGGATTTCATCATCTGGCTGGAAACCAGATCGAGGCTGTCTATGCACATCCGTAATAACCTTTTGGCAAGGGAGCAACTCTCCTTGCTTGTAAGCAGGACCAAAGTCGTGGTAGAGGAATGCCATCTTTCTCTAGTGTGGGACTGTGAAGAAATCAATATCAAGGCAGGAGTCGAGTAACAGTGGTTTGTTAATAGATGGTTTTTTTCTACATCTACTTAGAAACACAAACAAATAATAGCAAGGTGATGGCTTGATGATTGATTGTCAATCAGTATCAGGGGCAGCAGCCTTACTTAGGGATGATCGGATCAAGCTTTTTATGCTTATTTTGTTTAAGCTCTCCTTTTATTTTCGTTTTTCCAGAGGAACACAACTACGAGCGGGAGACACGGAATCATTCTACTTATGTAGTTACCTAGACTTCCTGGAAAAGTAATAATGAATGCGAAAGCATGGACTAGAAAGATGAGAAAAAATCAAAGACACAGTGATTTCTTAACAAACCTCTCTCTTTACCATTACAAGGTTGTCGCTCAAAAACAGATTTTCCTCGTGGTACATTGGTACACCGCACAAAGATGTTGCTCGTGATGACAGATGTGGTAAAGCTTAACATGGATGCATCTACTCTAACCCTACCTCACAAGACCAGTACAGGCTTTGTTGCTCGATGATCAGCACAGATCACTTGTTCTTCTTTTCATCAACACTCCAATATTTTTAGCAATACAGATTTCATCTTCACAGTACACCACTCTTGAACAGAATCAAGCACGAGCACAAAGGACGTTCAACATCATCTTTCAGTTGGCCTGGCACGAAATTCACAGAATCTTCACCGTGTCGGTCCAAGGAAATACCGAAACTACAAGTACAAAATTGAGAACAAGATCTATCGACTTTTCCTACCGCAGAAGGGCACCAATCGTTGGCATTGTGAATGTGATGTCCCTCGTAAAAAAACATCAAATGAAGCGCAATACAACTACAAAGAATCTCAAACCTCCCAAATAAATCATGCTGTAAATCTAAATCTTCAAGCCATTCATCTAAATTTAAATTAAAAATTGTTCACCTAAATTTCTCTAAAAATTCTTTAGTTCGACCATTTGTTGCCAAATTGCCAGACCTCGTTTCTTCTGTGGATGTCTCTTCTGCACTGGTGATACCCAAACCGCATATCGTAGCACTCTTGCGTGACCCAGTTTATGTCGTTGCTCTGCATGCATTCCTGGAAATCGGCGCCGGATTGGAAGCAGGGAGAGTGCAGCATGCAATTGCCGAGGTCGTTTTTTTAAAGCTCAGCATTCATTGGTCACTGACTCTGAACGGAAGAGACCTCCTCCAAGGCTCTCCCCTTTCCCTTCATTTTCCCCTGTTCTCTCAGAGGGACCCCCTTCGATTTCAGTGACCAACCTCTATGACCAATGAAAGTTGAGCCTTAATTTTTGATCTTCGTACAACTATTGTAGATTTTTTGATGCGGCTTTGTCACTTCGTACGCGAACGGAGACCACGAGAAAAATTCACCGCCAGTCATTCCCGGTCCCTGAGGTAATAAATATGCAATAAACTACATAGCGTAGCCCCCAAATTTGCGCCTAACGGCCAAAATGCTGGAGCTTCCGCATCTCGAGCGCGGACATGGCTTAAGTGGAAAAATATGAGTCATATTGTTGATATTGAGTCAGGACTGATGTCAGTCAGTGAGTCAGTGATTGTGATTGTGATTGTGATTGTGATTGTGATTGTGATTGTGATTGTGATTGTGATTGTGATTGTGATTGTGAATGAATCAGTGAGTCAGTGATTGCGAATATGAATATGAATGAATGTACCCACTCCAGGGGTTTAGAGAAGCATCTACTGACTAAGCACTTCCCTTTACAACGCGCTTCATGCGAGCGCATGATCTCTACTCTCTTTGCGCGAGGCATCAGCGTCATGTCCTCGTTATAGTCGATGGACGGTAGTCCTGAGTAGCTTCATTATTATGCATGGAAAAAGCTATTTACTTAGGACTACAGGTACAGGTATAATCCGCCAGATCATCCAACAGAACAAGCAGCTACTGAGGTGGAATACCAAAACGTCATCGGCATCCGGCAATTCACTCAGATATGATCGAAGCTCGCGATATGTATTGCCCAAGTAACTGCCTCCTCCACCAGCATCCTGTTCTATGGTCCCTACTGGTTGCACGTTTTCTCGTTGTTATTAGAAGACGTAGTAGTACTAAAAAACCTAACTAAACTGTGAGTCTGCAACTGTGTTGAGAAGTAACTCGTGTTACGCGACGTTGTAAACAAGAGCCTCATGAAGAACATGCTCATTCTGTTTTTGAACTTATTTATACTTAGACTGTCCTTCCATAATCTTCTCTTCTTTTTCGAAAGAATTCTGCATGCTCTGCTTCGTCAAGTGGCACAGGATTTGGGTCTTGATTCCGCAATCCTTTCATGAAACGCTCGTACCACTGAGCAAACGATATAGGCGCCATGTTCTTGATGCTCTTGTGGTAGATACCTCAACTTCAATCCTTCATTGCGAATATTGTATTTGAATCAATTTGATAGTTGGTGTTCTTAGTTCCAAACGTATCTATATTAATTATTCACGTCTCGCTGAATATGAATATCATCGACGTACTGTACCACGTGTATTTTAATCTTTATCTTTATCATGTGCAAGAGTAGAAAATATCAATGGGTTTCAGGGGCAAGAGGGTGCAGATGCAATGGGACTAAGAAGCAGATGACTGATGTTCGCACTCAAGACGATCGCTCATGACGCTCTTGCTTACTCACACAACAACTCTAGGTGGAGCAGGGCTTCTTCTCTTGTACTGTTGTTTTCCTTGGTCTTCTCCTTTCACCGATAATCGGATGCACCTCTGCGAATCTTCGCACTGCTTCGGACACGATTTCGCCAAGTCTGGACTCCAAGAATGGTTTTGGCAGCGGCAGCATTTTTTGAAAATCAGATAGTAGACCAAGAGCAAGAATGGCGGGGTGCAGCCAACAAATTCAAAGTCGCTGTCATTCACTAATCACTATCAGAGTCGAAAAATACTTGTTTTGGAGGTGGGGGCTGCCTACTTGAAAGCAGTTCACGGATTAGCACTGTCGCATACTGACCTGGGCCGAGGATGAAAGAGGTCTTAACTATGGGTTCTTTAGATGAATCTCCAGAACTAGATGTTTTGGAAATGGAATCAGATACTGAAGCTGAACCAACGTCACCATTTTCACAGATATCCCACGTCAACTCCTTAGGCCTTTGCAATACTCGTCTATAATCGCCAGGAATACGCCAGAAACTGGTGCAACGGAGATCTGCGGCAGCGGGATCCAAGTGCATCTCAACGCCGAAACCTGATTCGTCAACTGAGTCGTGTGTGTCGTTGTTGTGAGAGGTGTCCGCTGGTGGTGAGTCGTGTGTGTCGTAGTCCTCGTTTTCCGATGACGTCAAAGGAGTATCCAATTCCAAATCTTCTAATAAGCCGTCGTAGCTGAGGTAGTCCCGCATAACCTTTGCGACACTATGCGTTGGCATGGCTTCTCTACCACATAGATGCTTGTGGCCCATTCTCGGAAGGACAACATCGAAAATCGAGTACTCTTTTGCCTCGTCATCGGTTGCCACTAGCTTTATGAGTTCCGTGCGATTGCCTTTCTTGTGCCTGGTTAAGCTGCTGTCGCTGTGTGCTACATCTCCAACACCGGGAGTACGGGCTTCGGAAGCCACCACAACCAAATCCCCTTTCACGACTCTCTCAGCTCCATATGTCCTAACCCTTTCGCTCGCAGCGAAATTCCAGATCCTATCTAAGTAGGCGTGAGCATAGAGAACCCGGATGTTCCTTGGCAACGACAAGAATGCGTAACGGCAACATTCAGCATAGGAACGACGCTGCTTCGACGAATTTGTCTGATGGCTTTGGCTATTATGATGATGTTCGGCAGATGAATGAGAATAGGGAGGCGTCTTTCCAAATGCAATCAGCAGCCTCCTCTCAGCCCACAGCCTTTCAGGCAAGTACTTCAAAGCAGTCTCCCAACATCCAGTCCTTTGAAAAGCCGCTGCCCATTTAGGCAAGGCAGGTCGGCGACAAGTATCACGTTGAGGGCGTGATGATGATGCCGCGGATGAGCCATGTTCTTGGCACGGCTCGTGTTGCAGTTGCTCAGCTTCACCACCAGATATAATTACAGATGACCTACTGACAACCATATTTCCACCAACTCGTCCACCACGCGCGCCACTGCCGCTCCCTACCGTTGTGCTCTGTTGCGCAGCAGGCGAACCATACAAGAGTTCTTCGAAACAGGCTACGTAGTCTCGTTTGAAGTAGTGCAGACCGATTCTATCTGACCGCGTACCATTCTTTCCGAAGCGCTGTAGACCAATGTAATTGATGAAACCCTTGTCGCGTAAATCAAGGAAACTTTGCTCTACGATCTGACGGCGTGATGTTGGGTTTGCAGTTGATGTACCTTCTCCTTCGTCTCCACAGGACGCAGACAAAACGGTATTCCGTATCACCAGATTAAACTTGTTTCCCGCCAAGTTTCCTGGAAAGAGTGGCACAGGCTCACACGTGACGTCGGCGACGGAAATTCCATGTTCACCGCAGAGAGTGGCGTAGTCGTCTGGAGTGACAGGAGCCTTAGGAGATTTGTCTCCGCCAATGTCTTGTTCCCAAATACCAGCTTCAGCAAAAAGATGTCGGACACGTTTCAATGCCCAGGAGTTGCTTCGGGAACCGCAAGAGCGACGTCGTGGACCGCAGTCTTCTTCCACCACATCAGCTACAACAACATGATTTTCCAAGAAACCTTTCGAAATCTGCACGGATAGGCGTTGCTGCGTTACAGCAAAGCTGTCTTTTATCCCTGCCATTCCGAAAGCGCGGACTGGTAATCCGGTGAGCACAGCAAGTTTCGAGATCCCTTCGAGTGTGTCGACACCGCGCTTGCGCATCCAGAAATGAAAACAGAAGGAATCCTCGATAGCGTTGAAGCCTTTGTAATTTGCTTGGTGCTTTTTCGTGCACTTCTTCTCTTTGTTGTTGTGCTTCCGCGAAGTAGATGATGTAGAACTAGATGACCCGCCGACTTGAAAATTTTCGAGCAACGCTGTTGTATCATCGCTACCTTTGCTAGGGCTAAGTCGTTGTCGCTTTCTTGAAGGCAGTTCCCTTTTCTCTCCACCATCCTCGTCCTCTTCACTCGAAGATGATGAACTCGATGAAGCGCCGGGACTCGTTGACGGAGTTGCAAGTATTGCATCCTCGTCGCGATGATCCGGGAACTCCTCCATCTTCCGCCGTATCCTCGGATTCTCCTGCTCAATCACCTCAAAGTCTTCCATCTCGACTTTGATCTGTCCTCCCAATCCTCTAGGCCTAGCCCACACAGCAAAACTGCAGATGCCTGCCTCAGCTTCATCGAGCTCGCTTCCACGTGCGCCAGAGGCGTCGTGGTGAGAGGAGGACATGTTTTTGACTTTCTGTACAAGTGAGAAAAGGTAGGACCAATCAACAAAACGATATTAGGACGAGAATAGTGATAAGTAAATGATTTTAAAGAGCTCCAAACCCAATCAAAGTAATGTTGATAAGTAATGTTGATCTCATGATGACTAAAGGGAAAACTACTGCACCAGGGCCATTCGGGGGTACTTTTTGTGGGGCTGCCACTGCCTGGAGACCAAGCTGAGGAGGAGGTGCTGAAGCTGATAACTATGAATGTTTACTCAGACTCAGTTCAAAAGATCAATTCGCCACGGACCTTTGATTGTCAGCCAAGAAACCTTGGTGTGCTATGAACATGAGTGTCATCGTGTGCTATGAACATGACCTTTTCCTTGTATGAGGATCTTTTGCGGATGCTGATCTTTTCAACGTTTTTTTTTTCGAAAATGTCGAGTTCAGGAACACGACCATAGAAGATGACCACAGCGGTCGGAGACGGAGTTACGTTATTTTTATTTTCTTGGAAGACTATGGCACTACAAATGTGGGGCGGGTGGGGATCAGGTCGTGGCGGAGGATGTTCTTGTAATCTTCGTTGAGCTCGACGATGGTGAACTCGCAGTAAAATGATGTAAGTGGGTTCTCCGGCGGGTCGATCGTTCTTACGTCGTACTCGGTGAATGTGAATCGTATTGATGTTGTGATTATGTTTGTTCCAGTTGGTCTCGATTTTCATCGGCTTATCCTTGCTGTTGCTGTGCTGCCATCATCGCAGCTACTGCTCGTTGATGCAGCATTTGTTTTTGTTCCGCTGTTAAGCCGCCAGCTGCAGTTTGTTCTCCACCTGCACCAGCCACAGCAGCCTTCTGCTGCAACAACTGTTGCTCTTGCATGTGCTGCTGCATCGTGCTCATTCCTGCACCACCGGCCAACGCTTGCTCTGCCTGCAACTGTTGCATTTGCTGACTCGCTAAGTTCTGCTGATGTGCTGCCAGAGTGGCTTCGTATTGTTGCGCTTGCTGTTGAAGAATCGCACCAGCGACTCTCTTCAGGTCTTCTAATTCACGCAAAGCGACGCTCTGTGGTAGTTTCTGAAGTTTTCCAGAAAAGTAGTCTTCGGAAATCTCCAAGCACCATTCTGGTAAAATTTTCGTCGCCGTTCTGACGTAGTTCTTTTGTGTCAAGACTATGTCATTAAAAACGATCCACTCAGGCTTGTGCTTCAAACACGTGCTCGGATGGATCTCTGCTGCTTGATTGTCTTGCACATTCAAGTATTTGTCCTTATGCTTGCCATCTGCTTGTAACCTCGCGACATTTGTGTAGCAGCCGGCTAGAATGGCTTTTCGGATACGAGCGTGGTATTGCGGATCGCGCTGGTGGTCTACTGTGCCGCCAACTACTGGTACACTGTTTTTCTCCATGATCGAAGCCAATTGGCCACGTACAGACTCTGCGGACTGAAGCGATCGCATGTTGACGTAGTTCGTCTGACACCACTGCTCAACAGCCTCATTATGGTACAACAGCTCCTTCTGTCTTCTATACTCGTCAAACACTTGCAAGAGTTGTAGATGGTCTCCGTCCATGTGAGCGAACTGTTGCTTCGCCCGTTCCGCCTCTTGCTTCTCTTTCTCCTTACCTCGGTGGAAGACTTGCGGCACAGACAACATCGCGACAATCGAGATGATCTCGTGAGAGCAGTGGTATCCCGGAGAGGAGAGGAGCATGCGAGAGTGGTTGGCGTCTAAAGGGAACTCGGACATCAATCGGCCAATAGACGTCATCTGCATTTCGTTGGATAAGGCACCCAGGTTGCGAAGATGATTCAGGGCGTCTGTTTGTTTTGGTGATTGCAACGATGAAGATAGGTTTGCATAATACAGTATGGGTAAATGAGGATGTCAAGAACTTTAATCGCGAACAAGTCCCGAAATCAGTATACTATCGTGGTCATAGCCGTACTGCTACTGGTACTTGTTAAATCGCTTTTTAGGAGAAACTATCGAAATGGCCATGGTGCAGGGAGACTAGCACTAGAACTACATGAAATGACACACAGTAGTTCATTCATACGTCGCTATTTTCGAAACAGAAGCCAACACAAGAATATCAAATCCTTCAAAAAACCAAACCTAAAGTAGTAAGTACGCATCAACGTTTCCGGTGCTGGCGGGTCCAGAAAATCGAAGTGGACCAAGTCTTGGATCCCTAGCTTCAATAGCGTCAAAACGATAGTCGACAGATTACTTCGCAAAATCTCAGGATACGTCTGGGGCGTCAGCAATTCTTTAAAACTGTTCTCTGTGTACAGTCGAAAGCACTTTCCAGGTCTAGTACGGCCTGCACGACCAGACCGCTGTGATGCGGAGGCTTGGGATATCGGGGTAACGAGAAGAGACTCGACTTTGATACGGGGATTGAAGACCTGTGAAGATCATTTATTGTGAGTGAACATGAGGTTGAGGTATTCCTTCCCGGGCGATTTGATCACCCGGGCGCTTCGATGTGATCACACTAGATAACAACAACAACTCAACAATAGAATGAATGATAAACGAGTAGAAGTGCTGGAGCTTTACTGAAAGTGGTGGATCTCTTTTGATTGCAACTCCTTGAAGATCGATGCGCAGTCAGTATCAATTACACGTATTTATCCGACCCATACGGGCACAGCGGCTCACACCATAACAGCAGAGCACGGCCACACCCGTCGTCAGGATTTTCAAAGTTTTCATCATTCGAGAGCGCAAGCAGAAAGATCTTTCTTAGGAAGAACATATCAAGACACGCGTCGAAGTCAGTATCAATTACACGTTTTTATCCGACCCATATGAAAGTGAGCGCTCACTCCGTGGAGAGCGAACAGCCACAAACGTCGTCAGGATTTAGGAAAGTTTCATCATTTGAGAGGAGCGCTTTCTTGACAGAGTTAAGGAGAGAACCTCCGCGTGAGATTCTTGGGAACAAGAAGCAATCTTCATCAGAGCTTAAGATCGTTTCCAATTCCAAAACAAATCTTCATAATACCTTCTGTTTGCTCAAGCCCGGATCCACGACGTACACGATTCCATCAATCGTGACTGACGTCTCTGCGATATTTGTTGACACCACGATTTTCCTACCAGGTCGGCCCCCTGCGATCCTTGGCTTCGGTGCGGGCTCGAAAATTCGCTGTTGCATGTGCGGTGGAAGACTAGAATATAACGCAATCGCCCTCAATTCACCAATTTTCGGGTCTGTACTCCTCGCACTGCTCATCAAGGTACGACAGGCATACTCGATTTCCTCTTCACCAGTAAGAAAGAGCAAGACGTCGCCATCAGGTTCTTCGTTGTGGATCATCAAAACTGTTCTGATAGCTGCTTGCAGATAATCCTTCTCAGGCTCTGGGGTGTAGTAGATTTCGACTGGAAAGGTCCTACCAGGAATGTTGATCATTGGAGCGTTGTTGAAGTAGAGTTGCATTTTCTCTGCATCCAACGTCGCAGACATGACCACGATCTTCAAGTCTTCCCGGTTTTTCATGATCTCCTTCAGTAGGCCAAACAACACGTCAGTCGCCAGCGTTCGTTCGTGCGCCTCATCTAAGATGATTACACTATACCGCGACAAAGTCGGCTCGGTCATGGCTTCCCTCAGCAACATACCGTCTGTCATGTACTTCAACAGCGTGTCCTTGCTCGTTCTGTCCTCAAAACGGATGCTGTAGCCGCAATAGGTGCCTAATTCTACATCCATTTCGTCTGCTACGCGCTGGGCGACACTCATTGCTGCCACTCGCCTTGGCTGCGTGCATGCTACGGCCTTGCCGAAGGAAGCATAACCGGCATCAAGGATGAACTGTGGCATCTGAGTCGTTTTACCGGACCCCGTCTCACCTACTAGCACAGTAACTTGATTTTTCTTCACCAACTTTAAAAAGTCTTTTCGTGCTGCGGCACAAGGCAGTGTCTGACGCTTCTCGAGGATTTCTGTGGTGAGCCGAGAATAAATGGTTTGGAACGTCGTGAATAGGATACCCGTATGCAGATCAACATCATCAACACCTTTCCGGTCTTCGTCTTTACCTACAGACCTTTATCACAGATGTAAGAAATAGCAAACAAGAACTACATCATTATACACATAGGATCAGGCTCAAGCAAAATCACCGTAAGCAATACCGAAATATTTCTTCGAGTAGGGCGTGTTCGTCAATGGATTGATATTCGGATCATTTGGCCGTGCCGACCTACTCGATGGCGCAGTACTACTACTGGCAGCACTGTTCCCTGTCAATCTCGACACGTCCCGACCATATCCCTGGCCTTGGCTATATTTGTGGTCGTCTCGTCGTCTACCTCTATCCCTATCGTAGTCTCTATCATAGTCCCTGTGGTCTCTGTCTCCTCCATTTGACGAAGACGTCGGGTTCCCATATAAGCTTGGGTCATTCAGCATATCCCTGAACATTGAGTTGTTCATCTTAGGCACCGCCACACTACTGAGTAAGCCACCACCCGGCTTCGCACCTCCATCTTCGTTATCTTCGGTATCCCACTTACTCCTCCGTGGAGAGCGGTCCCTCCTCCGCTCGTGGCCATTTGGCTCCTCTGGTGGCGGGGGAGGCGGTGGACTTCTACGGTCAGAATGACGAGGGGAAGACATGGCTTGTTCCTCTTGCTTCATCAACGTAAGTGTTAAGCTTAAGTGAAATAATCCTTATAACAAGTAAGTTATTCCTACGCGATCTCGTCTCCACAAAATGGATCACGATAACGGGTCCACGATTCAAGCAATACTGTTGCTACTTTGCTATTGCTTGCGGGTATTCGCAAGCTAAATATCCACGGGGAGGGGTGGTGCCTGGTCGTTTTGATTTTCAATACCTTTCAAAAAACCCACAATGAAGTGCTGATAGTAGTAGTAGTGGTGTACCCATTCGTGGGGTATAGCAGACGGTCTAATTATATGCCTTCTGTTTTTGCAGGTACTTCTTCCGTTCCTGATGCATGTTGTATGTTCTTAACTGCTGATCACAATACGCAATTATCCTGACGTTGTTCGAACGCTTGATATTAGTATCAGCAACAGGACCAAACAATGTTGGCGGACGTCATTTCCTACACACAGCTTGCTGAATTTTGATTCATCTCTAAGCGATGAAAATATTCCGTAATTCGGCAGTGAGCGGCAATTCGTAATTATCAGTAATCAGCAGTGACTGGCGATTGGTAATTCAGCAGTATTGACAGGGGACGCGCTAGACATGAACGCATGATCAGGTCGGAAGGCGCTAGATCAGGAATTGCACCCAGATCAGACAGCAATTACAAGCTTGAATTTCATTCTGGAGTTCCATCTGTTTTTATGAACACGGATACACTTTGTCTTTGACTCGGGAAAGACCGAGACCAGTAGCAGGTGACAAAATGAATGAGGTGAGCGAGGTGGTGTAGATGTTGCAGCGTCGTTGAATTTTTCTTTAAAAAATTTGAGCTACTTCCTTTGAAAAGGCTGTGAATGGGAGGTTATCGCGTCAACCGCTAGACTTTCCCCAAAAAAGGGAAAATGAGCACCTCTGGTGGTACAGGGAGGAAAATTGAATGGACTCTTCCTGCCTAGAGCGTGAAGTTTTCGGCTTTGATCTGAAGTTGGGCGTTGTTTCCGAGGTCGAGAGTATATCTCCCAGTACTCTCATTCCATGCTTCCAGTCTTGCGACAGAGCCGTTCCAAGGTGCGCCAGCTTTCAGGCCCTTCAACCTGACAATAGCTCCAGTTTTGAATCGCTTGTCGGAACTAAGCGGGGCGCCGGTTGAGACCTGGTTGGGACGGATGAGGGAACGTTGCGATGCTCATGGAAATTAAACTTTCGAGTTTATAGTTTCCGAAAAGAGGTGTCTGTATGAGGTATCTATAACCATCTGGAGAAAGTGGGAGTGTAATTGAAGCATTGAAACCCGTAAAAGTGTACCTCCACAAAGCTCTCCCCATCCGCAGAAAGCGCTGCCGATCCCCCATCTTCCAGTGCCACACTCTCTATCCGAAAGCTTGCTGGCGCCAGCATAAGCGATTCTTCTTCTATGAGCACAGTGTATCTGGCTTTTCTTGGTGTGAATCCTGTGATGATACCTATTTTTCCATTCAAGTGCGGCTTTGATTTGAGGCTTGTGATGACGACAGAAGTGCCATTTGGTATTTCGAGCCCATTGCTGCAGATCGTCAGGTGGTTAGAAGTTCAACGTTAATCGTGAAGAGAATCACCTTGGCAAATAGAAAACTCGATCATCTCGAGTTGTGAGCTGTAGTAAATACAAAGACAAACTGCACCTGTTCATCGTCCACCTAGTAGTAACTGCATCTGCACTACCCGATGTTTACGAATCTTTTGAAATTTTTATAAATTATATTGACCTTGAAATAATAGTAAGCAGATCTTTTCATAGACATTGAAATATTAATAGTAAGCAGATCATAAGTGTCGGAGCTTGACCACTTCCTGGTGTTGCCGCACTCGCCGTCATGCAATTCTTCACAAAGGCTATAACGTCCGCCAACTCTTCCGGACTTGCTGTGTGAGCCATGCCCTCATAGCTTTTCAGTTCGTACTTCGATACTCCACCTTCTTTGAGTTGTTGGCACACCATTTGCGCGCCCATGAATGGCACCACCATATCTGCTGTGCCGTGACAATGCAGAACCGGCAAATCCTCACAAACCGTTTTGTTCAAGCACAAACTGGGAACGCCCAAGATGATGCCGCTCATGAGGAGGACTCCAGCACATTTCTGTGGCAATTGCAAGGCTGTCCAAGCGGCTATATGAGCGCCCAAACTGAAACCTCCAAATAATATCCTGCCTAGCGGAACGTTTGGGTGCTCTGTGAGTTCTGTGGTCACCAGTCTGAGGACTTCGACCCAGGAAGATTCGACCATTGGCGGTCTTTTCTGAAGCATAGTGAGAACGTCCATGGGATTGAAGCTGGCTGCGGCTAGATCGCACCAGGCTGTCTGCTTTGCTCCGCCGGATATTGTCACTGTGTGTTGATCATGTACATGATGTAGTTCTCGAGCAGAAAGTACAGAGAGAGAGGTCCTCAGGATTTGAAGAAACATCATCCATCGCAAGATGTTCGTGTTGAACAAAATGATAATCAAAAAATTGAAAAATCGCTTACCTGGAATCGTCGGCGCCGTTGGCGCGATGATCTTCAGACCTGGTGTTTGCTGCGCGATCTGTTCTAGTGGCTCTTTCCATCCCAAGGAGGAGTCCCCTAGCCCGTGGAAGAAAAACAGTGTCGCTGTATGGTTTCCATCGGGCTCTATGGTGATCAATGGCCGTCCGCCATTCGGATTTTGCTTGACCGATGGCATCGTGTAGTTGTTGTTACCGCCAGCGCCAGAGATGTTCTTATTCTTCTTTGGACCGAGACGTCTTGGTGTCGGTGGATCGCGCGCTTCGGCCACAACACAAAACTGCCTCAAGGCAGGATAAGAGAGTTATTTCCTCCAAGGGGGACGATCACAGCAGTAGATCGTGCGGGATCTACAGCTGCGATCAAGATCATTTGCTGGGGACTGAATACCACGTTTGCAAGACGAGCAGTAGGAGTAGCAGGCGACCGCGACCATGTACTTATTTGTTGATCAAGAAAATGATCTGATTAAGGAAATCTAGACGTCGTTCTTCTATGTTGTATCTATTGAAGAAACTGAAATTCATCCAGTCTCCAAAAGCGTAGTCGATGCCGATGCCAGAGAAAAAAGCCTAAATGTTTTGGTATGAATATATGCTCTCTCCTCAAATGTCATGCGCTCATACGTCCTCGTCCTGTAGAGGTACTTAGATGTAGTTAAAAAACAACTTATAATAGAAATATCGATGTAAAAGTAGATGTTCTTGTGGGATAAAGTGCAAGATTACAAATACGGCGTACGCACTTTTAAAGCGATGGAGTTAGCTTGTGCAATTCCAATTGTGTTATGGACTCCGATGAAGGTGACGGATCACTCAGGTTTGAATTCCTTTTAATTCGTGGCCGATAAGTGGAGCTGTATGATTTGGTCGCGGAACACTAGTAGTGTATTCCTGTCATGGAATGAAACAGGAAGGTTAGTTTGCTTCGTAATTGAAAATTATTGGTAATCGGGAGATCAACATAGAAGAAAAATCTGGGTCGTGCAAGGGTATTTCGTCCTCGACCACCGCACTATTTTCGTTGTTTTTTGAATTTTTGTAGCAGTTTCATTTGATCTTCCATTTCTCTGTCGCCTTGTGCTGCACGCTTTCTGTTTTTCCTTTCTGCAAGTAATGCTTCCAATCTCGCGTTGCAGCCTTGATAGGATCGACGACCATAGGGAACGACACCTAGTATTGCTGCTGTCGTCAAGGTTGGAGGTTCTCGTTGGTCTACAGACAAACCAGCGAGGGGAGCGTCGGACTTTCTTGTTGATGTTTCGCCATTGTCGTCTCCATCGTTTCGCTGTCGTTGTGGTAGTTCCCATTCCTGTGCAATTTCGTCACTATCTGGGAGTGAAAGGTCTCCTGCTGGTGCCGTTTCATCACTTTCTTTTGATGCAGCAACTCCACCAGCAGCTTGCTTTGTACTTTCAGCCTGTTGTGTATGCGTAGATGAACTCGTGGGTGCGACACTGCTGGGTGTACTTGATGGCGCTGGTGCAAATGCTTTTGCATTCGAAGATGTCGCTGCAGCAGAAGTTGTTTGACTCTTCTTCATGAACCTCAAGGCTGTCACATTCTTTGACAAGTGCTGAGGTTGCTGAGAACTAGCAGCTGGAGCGTTTGCTTGGGCTGTCGTTTTGGTGCCCTGAGCACTCGTTGTCTCTTCAACAGGAAGGATATCGATTTTCAGTTGAGAGCCTTGTGCAAATACTGCGGCTGCTCTTGCATGATTGCCGTCTCCCCGACTGCCATGATTCTTGCGTCCCCCATTTTTCTTTTTCATCCTGAAATTTCTGATGTAAAGGTCGCGGTGTACGAAACAAGTGAAAAATTATGTGGCACGCACCTTAGCGAGTAGAAGAAGTCGAAGTCTTTATGTTACTGCGAAAGTCTTATCTACTCTTCAAAGTTCTGGAACCAAGGCCTGGAAAGATTGGTGTGCACTTCCATCATGATCAAAGATTTTTTGGATGCACAAGATCAAAGATGATCATTCTACTTTCGAAAGCGGTCGAGTATAGTTGATGTTGATGTGGTTCTCTAGAAGATCACTATTAAGAGCTCTTTCCTTGTTTGGACATTGGTCTTTTTAAGATCAATCTTGATCTCTCGAAACAAAATGCGACCCGTAAAGTATCGCCTTAAAGATCGACGTGTTCAGACCACGAGAATTAGCAAACTTTTTTCTATCCTTTGCTTATGCAAATACAAGTCCTAAACGTCTACTTGTTCTGTTGAGGGATCCTTTCCTGGAGGTATTGCTTCTTCGTTGTTACATTGGTGTCAGTCTCGCTGTTTTTGTACCGTGGTCGTTGCAGCTGAGCCGCATTCTGTACAAAGCAAGTGCTGTACACACACAGTCGACTGAAAAAAAACCCGTAATCAAAGAGATTCAGCTCGTCAACGTGTAGATCATTTGTCATTTTCCTTCATCTATATCACCGCTGATCTATCAACTTCATTTTCATAAAAATTTGACTATTTTTGTTGTTCTTTCCACACAATCACTTTCACTTAATTACTATAATTGATTTGTATTTTGCATCTGCGTACGAATGAAGCAACCAAAAATTGACAATTGAAACAAATCGTCCTCGAGATCAAGAACAAAGAATATTTTGAAGATCTTGAGGTTCTCCATGTGCATCGAAACTTATTGTTACAACTCTAGTATCATTCTCCTACCCGAAGATCCTAGATCCATAGCGATCGCGCATTTTGCAGTGATCCGCGATATGTCGGTTCTCCATGAAGGCTTCGCGTTTCGTATAAGCTGTGGTAGGTGTAAGAGTAAATTGCATCATGGTGTTTCTAACTTTACGCTAAGCGTCGTGACGGGGATTAAGATCAGCGGAAGTCACTACACACATCTTCTTACAACATCAAGCTTTAGGGTTTAGGAACAACAACAATGGAATACCTTCCGCCGCGGTAGGCAAGGGCCTTTCTCCTGGTCCGCCGAGTGGAGGTAGCGGTTGTGCGTTAGGATATTGGATTGCCCAAGCTGGCGGCAAGTCTTGTGCTGTAATGTTGTTGGAACCGAGATGATTGACTCGTTCACTTTTTATAATGCTCTGTTGTTGTATCGCTGATCTCTCTGCAGGCCTCAGTGTTTTATCCAGCAGTTACGAACAGCAAATAAAATGAGTACTAGTTCTTGATGCAATTATAAGTAGTTGGACAGGATCTGTTGAATACTGATGTTGATGATCTTTTTCGATCTACAAAAACTTACCAATCCTCGTCTAGTCACCTTCAACTTTGTTGAAGAGTTTTAGTAGTACCATTCATATCATCGAAGTCGCTTGCGAAGGGCGCCCTCAAGTGACATCCAGCCATGTTCTTCACCTTGGCCTTGTAGGCGTTATAACGACCTTCATGATACACTGGTGGAGGTTCTTCATGCAGGAACTGTGGCTGTGGCTGTTGTTGTAGTTCACCACCTTGTTCTAGTTCTGTAGGAGGTTGTTGTAAAGGTGCACCTCCTTGTAGTTCTGCTCCGGGGCCAGGCATAGGTCCTCCAGCTTGAGAGCTGCGAACGGAATCTGGTGGTGCATCTTCTGCTGACGTTGGAGGAAGGGCGACTGGAGCACCACTCATTGCATGAGGTCCTGCAGCACTTCCAGAACCGGCACTTCTAGCAGAAGAAATCATCCCCTGATGTTGATCGGTAGGAACAAGTTGTTGTAGATTTACTGTAGCCACCATCTCCGGAGCTGCTGATGCTTGGGCATAAGGAGCTGCACCAAGCGGAACACCACGTGACGATCCTAGTCTAGAAGACGAAGGTGTCACACCACTACGTGCACTATCCGGCACCATGGCCTGTGGGGGAAGCGGACTCATCATTGTGTTCGCAGCAGAAGCTCCGTCGGGCGGCCGCATAATCGAGACCGGCATAGCTGTTCGAGCACTGCCCATCCGGCTGCCGGTGTCGGAACCCGGCCTAGGCGTTGGCTTTTGCGCGAAAGGAATGGAGCTGCATGTCGACGGTGGACGTTCGGAGAACGTCACCGTGCTGCCCTTTTGATCGATTGCGGAAGGCATGTTGTTATTGTTTGTTCTCAGTCAAAAAAATTCAGTCGTAATATGTTAGCTCTAGTAACAACTTTCTCCTTTTTACGACTTGTTATAATGTCGAATGCAACACTAGCGGGACTTTATGAGAGGATGATGTCCGTTGGGTGGGTGCGCGTCATCCTCACCTTTTCTATTTATTTTTGGAAAAGCGCCGCTAAAGACCTACTTCTCAATTTTCTGTTTTTGCTATTGTTCTTTTTTCCTTGTAGAAGGGCAACGCTTTGACACTGGTAACTTCTCTCCACCTAAGTAATTCGATCCATTCCGATTTCAGCGAATATCACTCACTCTGCATTTCACCACCTCTAGAGTAAATTATGGCGAACAAATTAGAAATCTCAGACGAGAAATAATCATTACAGCTCCTGGCACGAGGGCCGCGAACTGAGAAAAAAAAAGTTGCGCGTGGTGTGGGACTCTTCAAATTTTTGCGTATGCCATCTTTTAATAGCTTCAGATCCTTCCGAATTCGTTTGCAATGGGCTACAACTTCTGGATGTATGTAACTTTTCATCTAATGTAAGGAGTCCAAAGTCAATGCAATTATTTCTTATGCCCCACCGGCAGCCTTCGCGGCTACACTTTGCTTACCCTTTGCTGGTGCATCTTTGTTCTTCTCACCACCAGCCTTGAAAGCCTGTCTCTTTCTGTGCTTTGAGTTAACCTTTCTCTTTTCGGCTGCGGTCTTTTCCTTCTTCTTCTTTTCCTGCTCTCCTGCTTTCTTAGGAGGCTTCTCCTCAGTTTTGCTATCTCCCTCCTTGGAAGCTGCTGCAGCTTTTGCCTTCTGCTTCTTATTCATTTTGGTACTAGAAGAAAGAGTAGTAGAAGAAGTGGTCTCCTTTTTATCGTCGCTAGATATATTATCCGCTTTCTTCGCGTCCTTTTTATTACCAGCTTTTTTAGCACTGCTTGAAGATGCCTTTTCCTCAGCGCCTTCTTTTGGCAAGAGGGTTTCCATCTCACCTTCTCCTACTTTTCGTCGCTTAGCTTCTGGCCCATCGCAGTCGAAATCAACTGCTGCCGCTTCTTCGCTGTCCTCTTCTTCGTCCTCCTCTTCTTCCTCAGATACAGAGACGTCGTCTTCAACCATCTTCTCAAATTCAGCCTTAGCGCGCTTGAATCTGAATGTGGATGGGAAATCAAGAACAATGGGAAATCATGATGGGAACATCATAAACATCTTCTGTAGCCGTCTATTAGTGAATCGCGTGTTGTAGCTCCCCAATCGCGAAACAAAACTACGAAGACGGCCAAAATTTTTTCTAGGATTTTCCTTTTCCCAAAATAAGCTGTGTAGCTTGAAGCTTTCGGGACTAAAACAAAATCCAAAAAACGAAACGTCGAAAAACAAGATCTGTAGTTACACAGTTAACAAATGAAATCCTCCAAAGCATTAAAATTAATAGAAATTTTTGTCGTCCATCTCGATGTACTAGTGAATATCAAGTAGATGAAGTACCTTTTCCCATTGACATGCTTTTCCACCTCAAATGGAATCTTGTTCAAATTGGAAGCCGTCAAGTTGCAGAATAGAGCGTTCTTCATCTTCTTGTGTTGCGTAATATGCGGTGCATAGATGCTATAATCAAAATCAAGATCGATTTTCTTCACTCCTGGAACGACAGGAGCCTTAGCTTCAGAGCTTTCCTCCTTCTTTACGTCGTCTTTCTTTGCCGCTGGTTTGCTCGCATCCTTTTTTGCTAAAGCCTCAGCAGCAGCTTTCTTTTTCTTATAGCTCTTGCTGCGGATGTATTCCTCCAACAAGGGAAGTCTGGGTGGAAAATCTTGACCGGTGAGGGTGCATTGGACCTGGTGGTATATTTGAGATGATCGTTCAATCGAGGACATGGAGATCTTCTATTTGAGGGAATGAGTGGGTGTAGATTTGTTTTATGACGATGGGCATACAGATACTTACTTTCATGATCTGTTGGCACAATCACAACGAAATGAAATACTTCTTAGTAATGAAGAAAAGTGTACCTTCGTGCCCTCCCGCACGTATTGGAAGTCGTCATGCTCGTCCAGGAATTGATCTACTGTTTCGACCATTTTCGGTATTTGATGGGTCGTCAAACAGAACTAGTTACATGAAAATATGATAATGGAATTGCAAATGCGATAATGCACAAGAAAGACTTAGGCTAGTCACAGGTAATGACGAGTTCTTCAATCGCGAGTTCTATCGTCCCGACATCCTGGTTGGGGTATTGAGGAGGAGTTTCAGAGGTTGAAACGGGTCATTTATGTTAATGAAGAAAGGCGTGTCCGTGTAAGTATCCTAGATCTACTAGGTGTAGGTGAGTGTCAAGGCGAGAGTGTAAACTGATCTTCTCATCACGATCGCATATTGTTCGTATCTTTGACTGTGTTGAAGATCTGCAACATGATTTTCATTTCGATCGAACTCTTAAACGATCTACACCAATCGTAGAGGCCATCTGCTGAAGATCATGTTGAAGAAAAAGAAGTTGCCTGATGATCAAGCGGATCCGTTTTTTGACTGCGGCTGCGATAGTCCTGCTAGATGCTTTGCCCCTGTCTTTATGTCCGAGGACTTGTCGTCGATAGATGGAAGACAGCCGAATTTTGCTGCTTACTCTTTCTTCTTGTAGCTTCTTTTTATTGTTTCCCAGGTTGTCTAGATTTAACCATAGTCATCTTCCTTGTTGCATTAATATCTGTTGCGAGTTGCGTTAAAATAGTCGTTGTCTAGTGCGCCTTTGGAAATGCATTGTAGTTGGTAGTTGCGAGTTGGTGGAGATCTAAGTACATCATTTCCTTTACATGATCGGCTAAAAGTTTCAGATGCAGTTATTCCCCAAGTTCTTGTAGCTTCCACCGGTCTCGGTCTTACTCCACAAGCCCGTAGGGGTCATGCGGAAGATACTGGTCTTTCTGCCCAACAGCTTGAGCACTTGCGCTTGGTCGACTGTCAAAGCTCTGCCCTCATGGCACACTGTGTGGTCTGCGAGCATGATGATCTTTCCATCTCTAAGCTGGGTTGGGAGACCGCATGATCGCAAGTGCTGCTCCATGGAGAACGGGAGGCTGAGGGAGAAGTCGGGGCGGTAGGGAGAAAACATAAACATTAACATTTTTCTTTGATAGGCATGATCTGTTCGAAGAAGTACAAGTAGGTCAAGAGCAAAGTTCAAATCCAATCATCACTTACAATGGAAATGGTGAGGAAAAATGTTAAAATTCAAAAATCACACAATGAAAAACATCATCTAAATGAGTAGTAAGTACTTGAGTTCTCCTTTTGGTATCGTGAACGTCTCTGATGCTGCGGCTCCGCTCTTTGCAAAAGTTGCCTCTTGGAGCTCGAGAAAATATCTCTGTGCTTCTGCTGGGGAAGCGTCAGTGCACCTGGCAATGTAGTATTGAGAAGATTTCATCATGTTTATGCAAAGATCGACGACTTACACCAGAAAAAGTAGTTAGTTGTGGTTGCAAGCAAGAGACGAAGTTGAAGTAGATTCACAAACAAGAAAATGGATAAAAAAAATTAGTAGTACAACAAAGCGCATTCGCCGCCAATCTTTTCTCCTAGGTGTGCTATCTTATCTGCGATCTCACTGTCTGAGTCGGTGCCGAGTGCTAGTCGCATGACGTTATTGTTTCCCATGAAAACAAGTCCGTTTGACTTGAACTTTTGTCTCACCTGCTTCACCAATTCGTTCTTCTGGTTCTCTACACGAAGAAGCATCACATGCTGATATTTCTCGACCTGTGGTTGACGTTGTGAGAGGCAGTAGAAGTAGGTGGCGGGCGTAGAGCAGGGGGATGCATCAGTGGTTAGATTTCTGGTCGCGATATTTGAACTACACTACCAAGGCGCAGGTGCATACTGAAACGAACTTTCTAAACAAGCAAAGTCAAACGAGGCATTATATTTTCATCTTACCGCATCTTGTATTCTTTCGATGAGGCCGTCTTTTCGTTCCTTGTTGTCGCCCTTCTTCACCTTTGTCAAGGCGATGACCTTATTTCTCTTTGATCGCGGCATTGTCGGATGTCAACGTGGGGGTAGTACGTAACCCTAGTAATAGTATGAAGTTCCAAATTATTACGCCTTATGTTTTTTAACCAGCACAATTCAGTGAAGTAATCCCGACGAAATACTCAACTACAGAATTTTCTGACAATTACTCAGTCTTTTGAACCTCCTGTTTCCGTTCATGGGAAGGGTAACGGGGTTGAAGGAAAACATAATCTTCTTCTTCAGAACAACTTCGCTCTAGCAACAAACAGTAGTGAACGTGAAGATCATGACGATCCTGCTCCATCTCAAAAGCCTACAAGATCAAGATGATCTTCTCGCTTGATCCGACCACATCCTTCCTTCCACGAATGACAAAAAAGATCTACTTGCGAATTATAGTTCCTTCTTCTGTTCCGTATGGTATAATTGAGAGCTTCATTGGTCGTCTTGGACAACGAACAATACGTCGGTCGCCTTGGACAACAATAATTGAGATCTTCGGTCGGCTTGGGCTGATGATCATGACGACATCAAGGTGAGGATCTCTATTCCCCCATTTGATCATTCTGGTGGTAGATCAAGGCAACAGAACTTGAAGAAGAAGAAGATCTCCTCGATGCACTTATTGTTGGATGTCTGAAGCATTCGACGTGGAGATCTCAGACTTCTCCGAGAGGGCGCGGCCGCGAGGAAAAGGAAAGGCAAAAGAGTAATCGGTGTCTCAGATGAAACATGATTGTACGTTAAGATGACATTTTCAAGATGCGCAGTTGAAAAGATTCATTTCGAACCTCCAATTATGGGTGATTCCGTTTTCATTGTTTGCAGTTTTCGCCAGTGGTGACACAGATTTTTACACAGGCAAGTGTCACCCAGCGATTTGAAGAAATTCGAATCTTCTTTGGTCGTGTCAATATTGTAAGTAATGAGTAGGATATTTTTAAGCCTGAGGACTATAACACTTCTCACGACAACATTCTAAAAAAAGAGTTACATTTTCGACCTTCTTCAATCATTATATTCGACGAACAATCACATCGCGAATTACAATGTACAACGAGGAAGTGTAAACCAAGCAAGCCTGAATGTAATGTAAGTGTAGATTATTTGTAGATTCTATCCGAAACGGGATTTTCGTCTGAAGGCCTAGCTACGCTGCGCGTCTAGCAAATATTTCAGAGTAGATCGTCGGCAACGAGTAGGCACTGTTGACGGCACATACAACATACAAGGTTCAATGACAATTTTTAGAAGACCATTCTTTGCTTCTTGTTCTTAGGGCGTATAAATATACGTATAGATGTGAATGTCATTATTTAAGGAGGACGAGGCGGTGTGTATGCATGTTGTTGTCTCTGTTACCATCGTTCATGATGACCGCAGAGACGTGTGGACTTAGTCCAGTAATGGAGCGAATGGAGAACAAGAACAAGTTTTAGATTTTATCAGAGCAGCAAGCTTCACATGTAGACACGGTTTCGCTGGTGTGGTCATTCTCTTTTATCAGGATTTTCCAAGCGGCTGCACAGCTTTACTTCTTGCGACGTAGTCGATCAGTGAATCGTCGTCAGCGATCGTGATAGCTTTTTCTTATGGATTAACCATCTGCACCATCAGAAAAACTACGTTCTTTCTTCTTTATTACACAATACACAACCACAACATGCATTATAAATTCTAATTTTCTATTGCTAGTTGAGACTGACTTCTGAGACAGTGCCCCAGTTCACCCTCGAGTTGATGTTGGATTATGGCCCCTTTCTACGCATGAGGTAAGGCGTTCCTGGCGATCTTCATTACATCCCCACCAAGAGCACCAACTCTCTATGGCGGTGAAGAGAGCGACAAACTCGCTTCCCGCTTCTTGGTGGAGCTAGATGCAAAAACACATTCACACACACACACTATTCTTCTCCAGTACTTCTACTTAGTGCACCTATCTTCTTGATTTTGATGGCGGGGAGGCACCAGATCTCTATTTCTATTGTACTTTTTACTTCCACTTGTTCTTGAGCTTCAACGTGTTTCCAGTTACATCTTGAGTACCAGGATCATCCGAGGAAGATCTTTTTAGAAATAGAAGCAATGATGCCTTGTAAGTATGCGAATGTGCGTTGTCTAAAAGATTTCAAATTCCAGATTATCCAATGTTGCTGCTTCCCAGCAGCACCAGGTTCCTGAAATTCTGAAAATTTACTGTCAACTCCTTGGTCTAAGCTGCGCCTGCGCCATGCTTTTTTTGCATCCTTCCGAAAACGACGTCGGCACCCGCCTTTTCTCTTTTTGTTCAGGGTCAATAGTAATGTCTTCTCTATCACAGTCAGCACAAGGTTCTCGTCCTCCTTCACTAATGTTATCTGCTTGGCTGCAAGGGCAAGCGTTGATGATGTTGAAATCTTTAATGTCTTCCCTTTCTCCTACATCTCGATCTCCTAGTCCTATTTTCCCTAAGATTGCCCTGGGTCTGGTGTCACCATCGACTTTTAATACCGGTCGTTCCGCGAAGATCATTTTGCTTGCCTCTTTTGCGTCAGGACTACTGGTCTTCGTCATCTTTCCTCCACTAACCTTCATGGGGCAGTCCCGTTGATGCTCTTTATCTTCATCTGGCTCCGCTGAAGAAGTGGAACTAGAAGTACTGGCATTACTATTGGTACTGCTCGGGGAGGAATCAGGAGAATCTTTTGTAGGAGGCGGTGATGAATCTTCGCCGGTATATCCTTCTCCAATATTCAAAACTTCCATTAAGTGCGTGTGCGGCGTTGTAGTTGGTTCCGTCTGTTTCGACGAAGTAGAACTCAATGCCGGACTCTTAGTGCAAGTATTATCTTCTGATGTGCTCTTCTCTCCTTTACCTTTAGCTGCATGTTGTACGTGTAGAAAATCAGCATCTAGAGGTCCCCGGAATTCCGGATGTCCATTATTCAAATTCAATTGCTTCATCTCCTTGACCAGTATGCGTTCAGCAGCCTGGCTTTCCTGCTCCCTTTTCCTTTGCTCCTCTTCTTTCCACGATTCTTGCTGCCGCCGCCGAAGTTCCTCTTTTCTCTCGTCTTTCTCTGTGGCCGCACGGACGCTTTTTTGCGAACGCAGGACGCACGTTGTGCAAGACTGAAAAGGATAGAAGATAATTCGAGGAGTACTAAGAAGATGTAGTTGATGGCCTTTGACATCTACCTCGTCCTCCTGGTCCAGTGCTTTATAATCGTCAACGTCAACGTCCAGCTTTACAATGTACTGAAAGTCGCCAGTTTCTCCAATATCAAGATGATGACCAACAACACTTCCTACCAGAGCATCGAAACGAGGGTGATCAACCTCAAATGCGACTTGTTCATCTTCAACATCAGTTGTAGAAGTCGGATAACCTGTTCTACTACTTTGCTCAAGCAGCGAGCTCTTGGAAATAAGCATGATGTTGGCCACAGGTTGAGGGGCCGCTCCTGAGTGAACTCTTTCTTGGGGCTTTATTTCTTGTTCCTTTTTAGTAGGAGCAAACGCGTTAATATGATGATCATGTGTTAAGACGACCCTATCCGTTTCTTGGTAGAATTTCAAGTTCTTTGCGAGACATTCTAGGAAACGTATATCTTCTGGAGTCTTCATCATCTGCAAACGTGCATCTTCCGGAATTTTCGGCTTCATGCTTCTACTACCTCCGAGAATATCGAATCTATTGTCACCTTCATCGTCATCTTCATCAAGATGAGAGATATCATCTTTCTCGTCATCCTCGTCCTTGTCGTAAGCCGCTTTCCTTCTACGCTCGCAACAAGCCCTCAGATAATTATCGGTACTTGCTCCTTCCGTCAGCCTCCCGACAAGAGTAGCTGCGGCTGTCGCAGCCAGCCGAACGGATGAGGGGGAGGATTTCGATTTGTGTTGAGCAGGTTTAGGTTCTACTGCCGGCATTTTTTCTGCCAAGCTGGCAAGATTGTCCCGCGCAGAGCAGCGTCTCAGTGCGCCAGGAGAGCGCAACAAGGAGGCGGGACTTGCCGCTGACACGAATGGCACAGGCGCCGACAGCACAATGCAACCCCTCAGGAAGGAGCGGAGAAAGAAGCATCTGTTCCTGCTTGTAGGCAAAACGGCATTTGTTCCCTGCCACGAGGGGGACGTGCTCAACGTCAAAGTCAATGTCATCTTGCCGATGTTGTATTGTAGCTCCGTTTGTTCAAGGACAAATCAAGATGGAGGGATAATCAAGGGACTGTTGTACTTGTAGTTACTTGCAAGTATAAAGACAAGAAAAGTTTTCATAAATTTTCTCGAGAACAGCGTGAACGAATTAAGTAATACTAGAAGAATTTCTGAGGAGGGACGTTTCTAAAAAAAAATGTTGCAATAGTACGTAGGCGTAGATGTAGAAGACGAGTGAATGTGGATCGACTTATTAATTTATTACTTGTCATCATTCTTGCAGTGGAGAAAGAGATAATCTCTTTTTATCGTTATTAATGCAGGAGTGTGTTTGTTTAAAGATGCAACAAGTTATGTCATGAAAATGCACGACGACCACCAACCTGTACGATTTCATTAAGATGAGATCATAACCCTGAATGAAGTAGTAGGAGAACAAAAAGCTGGCTTACTAGAAAGATACAGATAGTAAGTTAGAACATAGAAAGAAAACATGACGAAGATCATAATTCTGCTTGATGAAGAACTCGTAGGCGTAGGGCTCTCGTCTTGTTCTTTTAGTTTTTTTCGGTTTGTATTTCAATTCCTCCTTTCTGTAACATGTTCAATGTTGTTTCCCCTCTGCATTTCTTGATTCGGATGAACGTGTAATCGAACAAGGTGGACAAACAAGAGCAAAAGCAGTTGTATCTCCCGAGATATAAATGATGTACTAGTTGCTTTAGTTTTACTACACGAGATGTTCGCCATGGACGATGCCTCAGATGTGGGGATTGACATGGAGATGATGATATCTTCAACGGGAAATGTGAAGAGATGAACAAACATGGAAGGAGGTAGAAGTTGCTCAAGAATTCCAATTCAAAAGAATCCTTCCGCAAGTTCATTATCCTCTTCTGCCGCCTCTTGTTTTGGAGGTGCAAAAGGTAAACGAGTTGAGCAGGCACCCCCACCACTGTCTCGAGTCTTCGTACGTTCTCTGTCCCTAGATCTGCTTCTCCTGCCTCCATCTTCTCCTTTCAACCGCGCTCGATGTTCGTCCCGCAAATTCCGCTTGAATTCTTTCCGCTCCTTGTCGGTCATTTTCCCCCTAAAGTCTTCTTTCGCGTTCGCCGACTTCAGCTTCGCTATTCTGTCCTTTTCTTCGTTCTTCTCCAAGTCTAGATTCGACTTATTGCTGCCTCCCGCGCCACGGTTGTACTGCCACAGTTCTTCGTAAACCAGTTCGCCCATATGCTTGTTCTCGAAACAACGCTGACACGTGGCACGATTGAGCTTGTTCACGAAGTCGCAACTGCCACATTGCCATCCCGTGGGACGACCACGCGGCTGGTTCGCAGTAGACGAAGAAGAACTGCTCGCAGCTTCAGGTCCATAGCGGAGATGAGCACCATCTATGAAATTGTTCTCGTGACCATGCAACTTCTCATCCACAGTAAGCAAGTCCTTGAGCCCAGTGTACGCTTGTCGGCATTTCACGCAGTGCTTTCGTACTCTCACATTCACGGTACCGCAAGCTGCACACGTCCAATTTAGTTGTGCCACGTCATCCCTAATCGCAGATACCAGAAGAGACTCGCCACTAGACGTGACAGTATTCTTAGGGGCATACTTGCGTTGCCACAAGCCGGCACCGGTACGGATCATTTTCTGTTCGACCTCGCCTCGCTCGTTGACGCCTGTCGCGATGGAATTGGGAGAGATGTTAAGAATAGGACTGCGCGTTGCAAATTCTGGAGGTCGTATGTGTCATTTGTGGAAACATCATCTTTTTCTTTTGTAATCCTCCTAGGCTAGTTCAAATTGAAATTGATCATGCGGTGAACATCACCGTTGTAGCAGCACAAGTAACAAATTATCACCTTCTCCTGCATCCTGATCCTGAAAAGCTTCGCCGCTACTAGCCATGGCCTCCCGTGCCTCTCGTGTCAGCTCTTGGTTGCCTTGCGGCATGATAAACTTCGCCTTCGGATCCTCCTGATCGGGCTGGAGCGGGCGGCGAGGGCCGCCACCCTTCTTGCCGCCCTTGCCTTTACCCTTTGCTGGCTTGGACGACATTTTGTTGGTCTTCTTAAGACACAAGAACGAGGGAAAGAAAGTTATATTGCTAGATGTGATGATGGCCGTAACCAATTCCAAAGACTGATTGATACTAGATACAACTACGAGGAAATATAAATACAAAATTGGCCGTTGTACTAGTCGTTTTCGGCGTCCACCTGCGCCGAGCCCATCTTGTTTGCGTTGAGAAGAAGATAAGAAACGAGAAGAATCACGTTGCTACAACTAGCTAGAATGGAGTAGGTATTGCAACATAGTGGCGTCATTGCGAAATCTGCTTCATCTTCAACGAATCTCGATTTTGGAAAAATGATCCATAGATCATGACGGAAGAATCGATCGTGTTGGAGATGGAGAAGCCGTTTCTTAATAAAGATTGGATTCAACACGATGCCAAATGTGATTCGTAGGTTGATGTAGGATTGGATAAAGATACGGTTGATCCACCAAAAACCGAAACAAGAGCAACTGCTGCTAGGAAGTCCAAGCGGACACTGTAAGTGCAATGGAACACACGCGCTTCACATGCTGCAGTAGCCACTAGAATCGCGCCACGAGGTGCACGAAAGCGATGACCACCTTGGGTGAAATTTAATCACAACACCAAGACGCATCCGCATGTCCGTAAGATATTTTAAAGCGAACGGAAATCCATTGAGCGATACTTTGACTAGCTCCTTTTGATGAACATCTCTGTTAGCGTGCAATACATAGTGATTATATGAAAGAGAACTACAAGTGAATTGTACAACACAAAACGTGGGGGATGATAATTGATGAACTACACGCATCTTTAGTATTACATTAGAAAGATAAAAAGGTGAAGGTGTTAACTTAAACTTACTTGTGAGTTTGCTACTAATTATTCTGGTGCCCTTTTTCTACTCATGCAATTGCGAATACGAGAATTTAGTGTTTTTACGTTAGGAGCAGCAGCAAGGTTATTTTCTTCCGCCGACCGCATTCACTGTACTAATTCTCATCGGCCTTTTCTCTCGCCTCCTGCGAAAACGATCCCTTAAAAGTCGGTCTGACTCCAATCAGCGCAGTTGTTACAGCCTGTTTCGTGTAGGACAACCTCGTCAAACGACCTTCCGTCAGGATGCCGACTAAACCTTCGTTTTCCCCAAGGTTCGATTTATTCGTAATCCGAGCACGATAGCAAGCCTGAGACAGGTCGACTACCTCTGTAACACGTTTCTTGTCCTTGTCATCTTCTTCGAAGCTTGTGAGGCCTTGTTTTTTCAGACTCTCGACCAAAAAGCGCATGATGTTTGGCGGAAGCTCGAACCCACAAGACGTCCCTAGGAAGTGCTGTTGACCGTCGTAGCAAGAGACGACGCAGAGGTCGAACCAGCCGGACGAAGAAAGATTTTGCGAGGTACAACTGTTAGGATCATCGCCACCGTCCAGTCGGATCAAGCCAGACTCAATTCCAAAGGCAAGACATGGCTTTTTACTAGCTGCGTCCCAAGCAGCCTTAGCGCGGTTCTTAGCTCCTAAAGTGATAACTGGAAGTCCCATAGGCTGTTCGCTCACGCCGCTTTTTACGGAAGAATACTCGATTTTGGTGTCGAAAGCAGATATGTCGTTAGGGTAATACTGTGCGATCGATTCCTTGACGGCGTTGACCTTAGCTGGGTTTTTGGTGCCGATAGCGAAAGTCGCATATTGGGTGAGAAAATCATCAGCGGGAGAGGTGAAGTGGTTGCCGGAGGCAGGCATGGACGAATCGGCTGCAAGAGCGACCACCATTTTGAATAAGTTGATGCAAGAAATATTAAAAGAGGAGACGGGTTTGAAGATAGACTACTCCTGTAATAGACTCCTTTACGGTCTAAGAGGTGCGAGCTAACTAAGGATAAGGAAAGAAAGCTGAATCGAAATCGCAATTGCGCATGCACTTTCAAGAAAGAGAGCAAAAGTGTGTCTCAAACGCAATGAAAGTATCATAAACCGATGGTAAATTTCTAGGAAAAATGTGTGTCAAGATGCAGTTTCTTGAAGAGAAACAAGATACTCATACTCTCGAGGAGGATGCGCGAATCAGCTGAGTTTAGCAGTTGCCTTACCGAAGGAGAAGGCACAGTCTGGCTTAATACCGATGCACATATTGCCGCTGATTTGGATTCAACGAAGAATTGAAGTGGATATCTATGACTCTCTTGTCTCTTATTTCTCTAACAACAACAAGATGAAGCGTTTTTCTCTGGATGTGTACTTCTCAGTGGATTCAGCAAAGGAAGGTAGAAACTCGATCACAACACAGCAAATGAGAGGTCGATCATCGGCAGCACCGCAGAGCAGTACTCTGTCTTATTTCGAAGTAGAATTATGTGGACGTAAAGAATCCAGAGGTCATTATTGAAGGCGAAAACAACAAGTGTAGATTTATTGCATCGTCTACTTCCCTCATCAGGAAAAAAAGAATCGGAAGTCAGGGAACCATCTAGGCATTCAATCCACCAAACTCAACACCCGCTTGTTCCACCAAACTCAACACCCGATCGATGTTTTTCAATTTGGATTCGTCTTTTTTCACGTCAAAAAACGGTGGTAAAGGCCCATCCCAATTTCGACCATTGAACCACCTGACGATAGCGCTAGCCTCTGTTTTGTTGACGAGAATCCAATTCGCAGGTTCTGAGTAGAATTTCGGTCGAGGCTTTTCCAGATCTTCAGCGGCTACCTCCATATCGAACAGATTGAGTTCTTCTTCGGAGTCGTCGTTGTGTTGTGGTGAATGAGGGGACGAAGAAGAAGATTCTTCTTGGTCTTGGTTTTGCTGTTCATCTCCTCCTTCTAGGCATGTTGAATCTTCTAATTCTTGACCAGCTTTGATCCTCTTCAACATTTCCACGTCAATCGGCACCAACTGTAACTGAGCTCCACGCGTGTCCTCCAGACAGCCTCTTCGCTTGTAGACGTCGTAGAGCAGGCCTTCAGCTTGTTCCGGTTTGACCCAGTGAGCCTCTTGTGGAAGCATCATCTTAGCTTTTTCCAAAAACCTTCTCCAAGTTTTAGTCTTCAAAGGTTCGCGCTGTTGATCCGGCACCATCGGCTGACCAGCTAGTTCGCATAAGACGTAGCCAGCCAGGGTGTAGCCAGCACAAGCGGGCACGGGTGCCGTGACAGGCAGTGTTCGGACACGAAAGTTCTCGAGTGGCGCAAAGTCTTTGGCATTCTCAGGGTTCTGGTGTTCTTTGAGGGGCATGAGGGCACGAGCTGTTCGTTCGACACTGTAAACGACAGGGACAAGGTCGAGATCGACGACGTGACTTAGCATCGGGTGTTCTTGAGGGCCAGCCCTGGTAGGGTGAACTGGGGCTTCCGCTTCGTCGACTGCTCCATGTCGATCATTGCCTTGTTGTTCTTGGTCTCCAACTTCTCTGTCCACCTCCTCGTCACCAGTATCATCGTCATTAACATCTCCATCTTGCGTATTACGGTTATTTCTCAATCGAAGTTCTTGTCTTACACGCTTTGCCAGTTCGCATTCCGCAGTGTCCGTCAAGGGTCCCACTCGTAGCTTCGTCGGATCTGCCTTAGCTGCCATCCCAGCAGAAACGATTAGTGGAATGTTCTTTCCCTGACAGTACTGAATCAAGTCGCATTTTGTTGGCAGGTTGTCGATGCAGTCGACGACGAAGTCAGGGATGTCTGTAGGGTCAACATCTTTTGAGTCCACCTGAGCCACATCACCATCCACGATATCAATGTCCAATATCAGCTCATCTGCTCTTTCGATCGAAAATAGTGCTTGTCGTGCATCCACCTCACATCTGGGGTTGATCTTTCGAATAAAGTCGCGCACACACAAGACCTTTTCACTACCTACATCTTCGAAAGCGCTGCAAGCATGTCGGTTCAGGGACGAAAGACTGACCATATCGAAATCGATCAGCCTGATGCGTCTGACACCGGATCTTGCGAGTGCAACAGCACAGTGACTCCCGACGCCACCCACGCCAACCACAACGACGAAGCTGTTCTCTACGCGGGCTTGCCCATCTTCGCCGTAGAACTGGATATTCCTCACCAACATTTCAGTGGCAATCACGTCCTGCTTTTCTTTGTGTTCTTCACACAGAACATTCACTTCCGTCATCTCCAACAGCTCATGATCTCCCACAACAACTTGCTCATTATCTTCTTTGTCGGTCCCCAATCCAAAAAACTTCGCACCTCCAGCAAGTAGCAACTCGACTGCTTCTCTCCACAACACTTGGACTAATGTTGTAGTCGCAGTAGATGTTTGCGTCTTATTAGTTTGCTCAACGTCTTTTCCAGCCACTCCCTGTTGGTTGCCCTTCAAGACTCTTTCCAGACGACGTATTCTGCCAAAAGCGCGCCAAGCGAGCGCGCCAACTACAAAAGCTTCGCATAAACGGAAAACTCCATCGATGGAGAGGAAGCCAGGAGGGAGCGTTGGGAAAGAAGGTGATCCTCCTAGTCGAGGAAGATGTACTACCTCACTCGGAGGAACGGCCATCTTTTTGCTATCTCGGTTGAGAGGAGATGAACTACAAAGGTAATCACAAAGGGTTGAAGATAACAATTTTTTTGAGTGCACCTACTGCTAGTCGTGATGTAAAAAGAAACTAAGTATATGGAAACGGGCAGATTGTCATTAGATTCAATTGAAGGTATGTGTCGCTGTCAGAATTCAATGAAAAGAGTTATGGGCGATCGGGTCAAAATGAATTTTACCATCGCAAAATCGTGGGAACAAAAGATCACTGGAGCTTCTGATCGATCTCTTTGATGTTCTTCATCTTTGTTCTTAGTGCGGCATATTAAAATCCTGCTTGCGGGTCCAAAACATGTAACTGTGATCTGTTCTCTTCTAGCAGATCGAGATCCAATATAGTATTGCTTTCGAAAAAGCAGTTCACAAGAAAAACGGAGCAGCCATCTCAAGGGCCAAGGTCATCAAGGGTACAAGGTCATCTGATGGGTCATCAAGGCCGTCGAGGGTACAAGTCCATACAGGGTCACCTCAAGGGCACAAGGTCATCAAGGCCAACTGAAGGCTCAAGCTCATCTCCTGACTGTCGGCGATTTTCTGCGTGTTTTTTTTTCTCTCTTGAAAAATTATCATTTTATTAGTTTTGCGGGTTAACCTAATAGGTTCTCTTTCGCGTAGGTACATTCTGAATAGATTGGGTCAATATTTTCATATTATGGGATGGGGAATACTAATTATACTTAGTAAGGAATAATTGTACACTTTTCCAAAACAACAAAACACCAACACACAACAAAACACCAACACACACACAACACCAACACACACACAACACCAACACAC